AGTTCTCTTTCGTCGCGATGCATGCCGAGGAATTGGTTCGATTCCGCATCCTGCAAATACCATTTATGATGAAAGTGTTCCAGTGATTGGGAGTCTATGGGGTGGGTATTGCCACTACCTTGATGCATATGCCTATTGACGGTACTTATTAGACTGACCAAAAAAGCGCGGGAGAAATTTTTTCACCCAATGAATCGGTTTCTTTTTTATCGATAGCAAACCAATTAGTTACGAAGCGGAAGGAAATGCAACGCACGCATAAATTCCAAGAGATATTCGAAGATGAAATAACCAATAGGAAGGAGAGCGGAGCAAATCTTTGTTTCGACACAGCGGAATTCGTGAAGCCTTTGGGGAAACGATGTTACGATACAGGGATCGAACCGGCTCCGATCCGGTCAGATAGAACTCCCGCTAAAATACATTATATATTTTAAAAAAATTGAAATCGGGGGAATGACTAGATGAGACCGGACGCCAAAACATCCCGAACGACCTCGCATGGAGACTCCAGACCCTTCCTCTGGACGTTGCAGACACGCTGGCCTGCGAGCTGGATGACCCAGTGGATGACCGATTGGATGACAGACTGGATGACGGAGGGCCGGGCGGAGTGGAAGCCGGAGTGGAGGGCGAGGGCCGCCTCCCTCCAGACTCTATCGAGGAATCGCAGGCCGAAGGGGATCGCCGCGGGCGAAGGGGATCGCGCAACGGAGCCTCTCCTGCCCCAGCATTCGCGCTCGCTCACGGGTCATTTTACACAGGCTTTTTTTTTTCTTCCGATCGTTAATTCCGATTCGCAGTTCTCTCGATCTCTCGCATCGGTCGATCGCTCTGACGCGGCCTTTCCTTCATACGTGAGGAACTCGTGGCGTCGCTTCGCGTCGACGATGACGTCACGACATTCGCGCATTCTCAAGTTCGGCTCATGAGTGGCTCGACCCAGTACTAAACCGTGTCGAATGATCCATATTTCACCCCGGCCTTTGGTGCCCTAGTTCTTCCGAAACTATAAAGATCGTTTCAAATGAGGGTCCGATAGCTGGGCCAGTTTTTGTTTCCATCGTCAGATTCAAGGAGCACGTTCTCGTTCTTCTGGTAGTTTTCTCGTTCTCTATTATTATTTATCTGCGTATCCTTTTTGCTCGGACTCCATGCTTTTTCGGGTAAAAAAAATTTTTTTTCCAAAGTTAGGTGCTAGTACACTTTGGATGAGTCGACATAAAATTGCAGTGGGACGATCTCGAGCGTCCGTGAGATTCCCTTCAGACGACGGGATGAACCCCATCCACTCGACGTGGACGAACCCGGGGCCGCCGTGCGACCGGTCGGACTCCGACCAGGACTCGGACCCGCCGAGCTTCCGGAGCCACGACGCGGAGAGTCGCAGCGCTGCCGTCAGCCGCTTCGGCTCGGGCGTGGACGACAACTGCGAATTCCGGCTCTGCATGTCCTCCTCCTCCCTCAGACGACCGAAGGCATCCAAGGCAGGGAACGGCGCGAGTCCGGCAGGGAACGGCGCAAGTCCGGCCAAGAACGGCGCAAGTCCGGCCAAGAACGGCGCGAGTCCGGCCAGGATCCTCGAGACGGCTCGTCTCCTCCCCTGGCTCTCGCGAGACGCTCTCGAGGCAGACCTGAAAAAGCGCGAGATCCGGGAGACGCTGTCCCGGATCACCCCCGACCTGGAAGCGGAATACGGACTCATCCTCACCCTTCACCCGTCCCCCCTGCATCGCCTCCGCCGTACTTCATCCGCAGAATGCCTCGACCGCCCCTCCCTCGACCCCCCGAAACCGCCAGGATCCACCGCCTCGTCCTCCCGCCGACATCGTGAGTCGAACGAGGAGCCCGTCCCTTCTCGATCCCCCTTGCGCGAGCGACAGAAGCACGACTGAGATCAGGGTGCGTCGGCGCGATCGACAGGCGAACCGGCGGAACCCGCCGGCGAGATCGAGGTCTTCCACCTCCTGAGGATCGTCAAGGATTCCGACACCGACCTCCTCGCTCGGGATCTCACTCGACTCCACGCGGAGGCCTTTCGCAGGGTCAGTTCCATTTTCCTAGCTTAAAAAAAAAATTTAAGCTGTGGTGACCGTTGCTTATGGTTTTTCGATATCTCGGAGTGGAAGATCACATCGATTGAATTTTTTTTTCGAGCGAGCGTTGATTTAAAAAATATATATGCTATCTTAAATCTAAAGTTGATTTATAATTATTCCCTGCAAAATATCTAAAATTAGTGCCGAAAATATTTCTTTCGTCTGAATTTTAGCCTTACGTGAAAAAGAATGAGAAAACAAAGCAAAAATACAAAAGAAAGTTCGAGGAAAAATTGAAAACAAAAAAAAAGAAGTTATGGAGAAGATAAATACGGGGAATACGGAATCAACAGACCTTGCGTCTACTTTGAGCAGGTGAAGGAGAAACTGAAGTTTAATTCGTCGCCGTCTCACTGGGTGCAGCTCTATCGCGGCATGGCTCGACAACTATCTCGTCTGTCTCGAGCGGTCACGGCGGAAATCCTCAAGGAAAAAACCGTCCACGTGAGACTTCGCCGGGAACGAGACCGCGGTAACGTCACGGTAACGAGCCGGCTTTCGCCCTAGGGCCGGGGGGCGCTGATGGCCAAATTGGTGTCGGTGGCGGGGGCGTGCCACGCGATGGGGAACCGCCACGGGGCGAGGGGCGTGCTCTCGGGTCTGCAGAGCCTTTCGGTCTTCAGGCTGGGGGAGTCGTGGGAGGCGTGCATGCTTCGTCACCCGGGGAACTTTAGGTAGGAGATGTCGTCGATCGAGCCTTATCCCCTAGAGAACAGACAATAAAAAGCGATGGGAATGCAGTGCTTTCTTGGGTAGCATATCGGCGTTTTTTAAGTCTCACAAATTGCTTTTATACATACACCCCATAGAAAAAACATTGCAAGGATCACTTTTTCAAAAATACCTTACGTTATCAAGGTTACACCGACCTTCATGAAATTTGTAATGTAAGCAAAGGGTTATTGCATTAATGAGTGCAATTGCATTAACTTTTAATGAGTCATTACGGCTCTGTGCCAACCTACATACGGAGTCTTAATTGAATTGGCCCATCTATTAACAGGCGACAAGAATTTAAACAAGTGTTCCTTGAAATTTTTTTAGTAGCGTATTTAATATATTTAAGGGGTGTAAATAAATTATGCTCTTTTCCTTCTACTTGAAAATTATATTCGTCATAGAATGTGCAGGGCATTCACAAAGTTCTTGTGCTCATTTCAAAGGATCATCTGCTTCCATGTTCTGTGAGAAATCATGTATAGCATGGTTCAGCAACTTCATATGCACATACAAGCAGGGCAAAGAACGGTATTAAGGTATTACCGCAGGTGAACAGGACACAGTGGACATCCTGAAAGATGAATTCAGCATATTTTTCCAAGCTGTTTCAAAATTACATTAGATGGTGACAAGTACACTTCCCATTGTTGGGAGTTACAGTGGGATTTGGGATATGTGAGGTGCGGTCAAAAAGTTTCCATGGCAGTCCGATTAAATTTAAACAATTTTGTATAACTGCAATTTGCATGATTCACTTTTCAACATAGTCCTCCTGCACTTCTTTGCAAGACTGTCGTACTTTTCTCCCCATGAAGTACCACTGGGCCAGCATTTCTTCAAGGGTATGTTGGAACCATTGCCAAATAGCACTTCTGGGAACAATTCAAGAGGGATTACGGTGCCCAGTGACTTCAACAGCCAGAAGTCACTGGGAGAAGGATCTTGAGAGTGAGGGAGATGCAACAGCAATTCAGTATGTTTTTCTTGGAGAAAGTAGCTAACAACTTGAGTTGAGAACAACACTGATTTGCCCCAGCCAAAGAGTTCTAAGAGTGTGACCAGCGCTTCCAAGAATCTCTATGTCATCTTTTGGGACGCGAAGGGCCCACTGGTCATTCATCCTGCACCTTCTGACTCAACCGTCAGCGGGAGCGGGAATAACAGAGGTCCACTAGCCAACGAACTCCTTCCAGAATTCATAAAAAAGAAAAACTTCCTGTTAAGAGTGATCCTCCTCCCAAGTTCAAGTTTGTTAGCTACTTCCTCCAAGAAAAACAGACTGAAGTGCTGCCACAGCTCCTTCACTATCCAGATCTTGCCCCCAGTGCCTCCTGGTGGTTTGCGAAACTCATGAAGTCCCTAAGTGGGTACTGCTATCCTTCTTGAAATGATCTCAGCAGTGCTATTTGGCAGTGGTTCTGATATACCTCAAATAAATTTTCTCCTAATGCTACCTCATGTGGATAAAAATATGGCAGTCTTGCAATGAAAAGCAAGGGGACTATATTAAAAACATAATTATGCAAATTGGCATTATACAAAATGGGTTTAGTTTTATTGCACTACTATGGAAACTTTTTGACTGCACCTCGTATTTGCACTGTAGTGATTTATAATTTTTTGCAATCTGGCAACCCATCTACTTTGTGCAGGGCATTCCAAGACCTTTCTTGGGAGTATGATCCTGTGGCTTGGAGGAGGAGGTTGCTGGCTTCGAAGGACCCTCAACTCTTCTATCTAGGGGACATTCTGAGTCAACATAGATCAGACATTTCAAATCATGAGATCACAGGTATGGAGCTTCTGATTGTTTAAGGGCACTCCAAGTATGACCAAAGTTCATGACAACATAATATTAATTTTCTATATCTAGTTGAGAGCATAGGAAATAGGGAGTCAGTGTGCCTTCACATCCAGAGAGATGCTGTGTCCCATTTTCTAACTGACCTCCCGCATTCCTGGTATGAAAACCAAACCTCCTTTCAGCACATCATCTTTCCTCCTTCTCCTCAAGCTGCATTCCAAGAGTCAAAGAACATAGAATGATTATTGGACTCTAAAGGACCAGTGTGGAATTTTATGCAACCCTTACTGCCTGCAATATCAAGCCTGTGACACATTCAATTCTTTGTAAAGCCTTGCATAGTCTCCATTGTGAATATTGAACCAAACACAACAGCATGTAAAAGGGACAGTCCACTCAAGCCTTCATTTGTACAAAAATAACAAAACATATCACTTGCACATTTTGACAATCGGAGTCACGTGATGTCAAACTGCACTTTGTTGATTTCTTCTTTGAACTTGCCAATAGTCTCCTTCGCCAGTTTCAGTTTCTCACGTTGTTCCTCAATCTCGTGACAGATCTTCTCCTTCCCACCACGAATTGCCATGAGTGTCTTCTTCTCATTCTCTTCAACTGGAAATCAATTCCTTCACTCAAGAGATATACATGAATGCAAGTAGGATTGCAAATAATGAAAGAAAACTCACAATCAGTTTCATGCTTATAGGGGCCTAGGGTCAACTGTCGAGTGCTAGTGAGGAGCTGTTGCATCAGTGGGGATGGATCCACAAAGATGATCTCATCATAAAATTCAGAAACAAGGGTTTTCTTCCCTGGGTTATTTTCTGAACCTGTTTGAAAGAGCTTCAGGATATGAAACAATGTCACCTGAAAGAAAAGAAAACATGAGTCATAAATGCAGATGACAGTCATGATGAACATCAACATATCAAGTCTTCCATTTTTATATCTGGGTTTAAAAATCTAATGAAATTTAAATGTGGTACACAAATGTAAAATATTTTGAAGACAAGATTACAAAATTGAAATTTACTTAAAAGTTACCTGAATTACTGCAGCACTTTCTATTTTACTTTTCTTTATAATATGTTGGAACTTCTGCTTCATCTATTGGCCACACCAGGGATTCAACATATAAGCAAAGAAAATAATCAATGCACATTGAGCATCAGGACTATGATGACTTACAGGTTTCTCGTTGCATGGTTCATGGAAGTAGATCTTGATTATAATTTCAAACTCTCCCCATCCTGTTTCTGTTACTTCATATGGAGGCTTGGTCACCACCCGATTCTGGTTTGTATAACTTTCATGAAGTTTGAAGTGTACCTTGAAGAATGATGGAAGCAATGACAACTGGTACAGTGAAATGAAGACTCTCAAAGAAAAATGACAAAAAACACATTGCAAAAGAAACAAGGCTATTCTTATTTCACAGAATATGGATACAGTAATGAAAATTCTACTAGAGACATGGATGGATGCAGCAGTGAACCTTGCATGAATCCAGCAGTTAGTTGACTGATGAGGGAAATGACCTCACAGTAAAGTCCACTTGAATTTCAAGTGTGACAAAATCCACTGTAGGGTGAAATAGGTCAAATTGAAAAAAATTAATCAGAGAAAAGGAAAATTCACTCTTAACTAGTTTCAGGTGTTCAGGATTTAGCTGTGATCTACAGTAGTCTAGCATACTTGAGCTCTGATAACCTTAATATAGGGTTGATCCCCATAGGAAATCATTGAAGCAGGCAAGCCAGTAATGGAAGTGGAACAGCTGTTGAACCTTTGGGGATTTAGTAGGTTCACATTGGGGACAGGGATCAGCGCTAAACAAGACAATCTCTCATCAGAGTTCCCATCTGCCATCTCCATAGGTACTATTGGAAAATAGACTTTCTTTTTCTTCTGTCTCTCTGCAGTATCCACAGCAACAAGACAACACTACTCAGTGAGCACGTGCAGCCTTCCACCTGGGTCAGGGTGCCAGGCTACCACTAAAAATCCACTTCCCATCCAGCCCTTGCAAATTATGGATCCATAATGGACAATAGGAGAGAGGGGTTGCTTGTGGCTGCATAGACAGGGTTGCTAACCATACATGTGAAATGCAGCATCTGAGATCCTACACTTCATACTCTCCTACCATCTCTAAGTGACATTGATGCAAGAACCATTGAGAACATATCCAGTTATTTGTGCCTGTCATATAGGCCTATGATGTACCAATGACAGTTATTACTTATTTCAAGGTTGGTTGGTTAAGATGCGGCAAAGGACATCATTCCAGTGGTATAGGGGCCAGTAGAATAGCAGATCTGTGCCAGGACCGGAACTCTAGTTTACTCTTTCCCATACTTTCTCTCCCACCTTCTACATCACTCCTGTGGTGGTAAATATCCATTAATGAGAGGTAAAATAGGATTATTAGGAGCTAATAGGCATAGACTGGATCCCTGAAGTGAAAAGCATGTAGGCCTGACACAGTACCATGCTTTAAAAGGAACCCTCCTCAACAACTGATACACTTTTGCTCAAATATGTTTTTCAAAGAATAAGCAAGCATGTCACCCATTTAATGCATCAAACTCCACCAAGATTTGGTGACTGGACTCTGAATTAAGCTTGGCAAATTTTGTCAACATGAAATTGCTCTAGTTTAGCCTGATTCACCCTAATTTCAAGGACTGCAAAGTGAACAACAAAGACTCTGGACAGAACACACATTAGGCTCAATGCTGACATATGTTCATGGGCTTACAACAAATAACAGCTTCAGGTTCTCTTCCTTAACATTTCCATATAACTATGGGCAGGCTTAATTGCTCTCACCTTTTTCACCCACACAGACATGTCTTCATTGTTGTAAGGTTTCACATAGACAGTCCATGTATGTGTATGGCCATCCTCATCCCTTTTCTTCCCAAAATATCGAGCGGAGTTCCCATACACAATGGGTTTGACAATTGTGACTCCCTGAAAAGGATTCATACCATCCTAAGGAATATGAAAAAAAAAAGAAAAATAAGGTTGATAAGCCCAATGGAAGACCAAATGGCTACAAATAATACAATTTATAATAAAGGCTACTAAGAAGAAATCAACATTAAAAATGCCAAAGCTTAAAACTAGTCTTTGTCAAACTCATAGATAACGCTTAAAAGGATTGGGTAAAAAATAAAATTCCACTCTCATTTGCAAGAAGCTGGAATATAAATGGGATAGCTTCATGTAAATGTCATTTGCTAGCCCACCACTACTTTGCATTACCAGATATTTTTCCCCATGACAATAAAGAACACTCCCTTCATACTCTAAAATACTTAAGGTTCCCATGCAACTAAAGCATAATATGGCAATGATCCAAGGGAACCCACATGGACGAAAGGGCTGATTATTTTTAAATTTATGTCTGGTGACTTCCAATAGGCTACTAGTTCAGGATAATGGACATTACACATGCAGAGGATGAAGCAACTTATCTCTACGTTTCCCTGCACAAAGTCCTAAATTGGCCTATTTCTACAATTTCTCACCTTGAGTCTGTCAACAGGAGAGGCTTCTCCTACAGCCTCTGCCATGATCACGGGAATGTACTACCGCGTGCTACATGCAGCTGCAGGCAGCCATGCTGATGGCCACCACGGATGCCAGATATCAAGCTGACATCTGGGTTTGTCCGTCCTTGTCCTACTTGTCAGAGTGCAGCTTGATTAATGAATATATTTTTCTTGTTGAGATTAGAGTCATTGTGACTTTATTATATTTGTTTTGGCTTGAAAGAAGTAAGTTTCTGTGCGGCTCTCAGGTTCAAGGTTCAAAGTTCTGCTCGGAGCACCAAAATGCATATCTGTCCATCCATCTACAGTGTCCGTCGAGCATTCATCCTAACCTCGCGCCAGATTCTGAGGTAGGCCTGCTCCGCTAACAGGTGGTTGTTATTTTAGATGTAAGTGACTCGAACTTTCAGCTGTATTGCTCCTTTTTTTCTTGCATTCAATGATGGAGTTTAAACTCCAAAAAATTAGCAGCATATCTCCCTGAGAGGGGGAGGGGATTAGGAAGGTCAGGAACAAAGCATGCCAGTAGGCCTATTTTGTGCTACAAATCCATAAATCCACGAACAGGCAAGGACAGAAAATTTAAATAAATTTTCCTCTAGGGCTGGGACTAGATACATCATCACCTGACTCGTTTCTTGCATTCACTAATTGGCAAATAAAAATAATTCCGCTTGAGGCCCACTCAACTGATTCCCTTCGTCCCTCTTCTGTCCCCTTCGAGCAGGAAAAAACCCATCCGTGCAGTCGGTTTTCGATGCTTTCTATGCTTATAAATGCCAGGATGCCAAAACTAAAAGCGCAAGTGCGGTTTAGGCAAATCTTCGAGGCACCGCCAGCTCGTCTTGCAAGGTGGATGTGCAGACGTGTCAAATCAGAAAAATGGAGCTTCTTGAGCAACATCTTAGAGAGAAGTTCAAAGCTCTTATTTAGGTACGTAAGCAGAATTTTCGGAAGGGGGAGCCAAGTATTGGGGAAGCTGAATGAGGACCGGCAGAGAGGGAGGGTCTAATCCACTGTCCCCCCCCCCACCCCCACCCTCCGTCGAAAGTAACCGAAGTTACCTCTCAGAAAATAGCCCTAGGTTCAGAAAATGATACTTCCCCACAAGTAGCCAACCTGACGAGACCGACTTTGATGATGTCCTACATGCCGGCCACCTACCGGCGCCTACGTGTATCGCCTACGTCATGAAAGTTTTACACGATCGGTCGAGCGACCGCTTCCTTCGTGGAATTGGGGCTTCCCGCAGCCAGATAAACGCAGCGAAAAAAAAAATATATCCCCGTGGTTCCTCTCGTCCAACCACGACGAGGTCGAGCGTGCTCAACTCATGCTTCAACATTTGCTCAGCATTTGCTGAACATTCAAACATTCAATCAGCATCTGTCGGAGTGTAACCGTGACTCGAACTCACCAAATTTAGTCAAATGCAACATCACCCTTTCGGAATGCGTGCCAACAGTGTATTACCTTTCTTTTTAGATGTAAATGTAAAAAAAAAAATTCTTTTTCCAATACGATTTTACGATTGAAACCCTGCAATGTCGACAAATCAGTCCGCGTCGCGCCTCTCAATTTCCTCGATTTCGCCCCACAGCCCGACCGGAGTTGAGCCCCATTCAACTTCGCAGCCCCGCAAATCACGTCGACGCCACCCAATTTGCTTGACTCCACGAACCGCCTCGAGCAACTCCACCAAAGGAAAGCGAAGTGAACTCGAGTTGCTAGGCAACCATGCCACCTTCGTGAACATATTCTCTCTTTCCCTCCCGAAACGACTCGGACGCCATCTTCATGTCGTCCATGTCGTCACGATGACGTCATCACGATGGCGTCACGGTTACGCATGCCATATTTGGCTCTCCGAGAGGCATTCGCTCCCTCCTCGTCTCGTTCCTCCCCGCACGATTCCGACTGCCGCAGGAATTATTCACGCCTTTACCACTGTTGCGATCGCAACACGTCGCCCTTTCGTCACGGAATTGTGGCAGTCGTGCTTTGTGACGAACGGAGAGCTGCATATTGCGCAGATTCAAATTCACGTTCAAACGTCTCTTTTTTTCCACGGGGGTATTCAGTTTGACTCTTGACCAGAACGGAGCACAAAAATTACTTTAATACATTCAAAGGACACATTCATCAATAATTCATTCATAATTTTGTTTTAGCCAAACGTTCGGCTCGGGACATGCAGACGATTTCTCTCAGATCCAAGCAATTCTCGGGGAATCCGATCCTCAAGAAAGGTAAAAAGGCGACAGACGATGGGGTGGATGCCATGGGGATGCCAGTAATGCTTTGTATCGATTAAACACCCATTAACAGTCGATTGATTACAAGTAAAAAATTCAGTGCATTGCTCCTGATGCTTGTTGATCCAGTGGCTTGAATCTCTTAGAATTGCATATATCACCAGTGCTTAATTGAAGACATAAGAAATAAAGCATTGGAACATAGTGCATACGTATATACTGTACGTGGTGTGGAGGAATGAAAGGTTGGGAAGTGGTGGTGGATAGTAAGTGATAGGGGAACTGTGAGGATGTTCAGAGGAAGGGGAAGGGTGGGAGGGAGTGGGGGGGGGGGGGGGGGGGGGCCCACGGGACAAGCCATCCGATACTTTTTTTGTAAAATTGTGTTAAATTCTTTGTTTTGGGCACATCGAAAAAAACGGTGACATTTTGAAACCGCGAAAGGTAAGGTGATGGACGGGAGACACGAAGGAACGAGAGCCAGGCTCCGTCTCGAACAAAGCACAAGACACGACAAAATGAACCCCTTCTGGAGGAATGAAAAATGATGAAAAAAAAAGGTGCAGCTGAAGAATGAAGGCGTCGTCCGAGTGCTTCCATCCGGACTTCGCTGCATCTCGGCCTCATTTGAGGTTGGCCTTGATCCAGTCGGCGTGCCTGGAGACGCGCGTGAAGGGGGCGCGCTCGTCCCCGCAGGAGGATGCGATCCCCGTCTGGTAGTACTTCCCATCGTAGGCCGTCACAAGGGGATCGCCGCCCCCGCCCTGACGGAAACGACGAGGGGAAATATCAGTCTTGTTCCACGCGAGTCCGAGAGGACGAAAGAGCAGAATTTATAATGAATATATAAATAAACAAAATAAAAAACGCATAAAAATTGACAAGAAACCAAATCGGCAAATAATCAAAAAAGGAACGTTTGTTTATGTTTCGTTTCGCTTTTTTTCGGCTGTATTTCTTTCTTTGCTTTCGAAAAAAAAAAGCAGGGAACGAGAATGGAAATTCTCACTTGGCACATCTGTCGCCCTCCCTGAACGTCTTGAACGCAGAGCCTCGGATCCAGCAGCCCTGCGATCCTGGAGCAAGTGCCATCCACCTTCACGTCCGTCGCCGTCAGCACGGGATCTGAGGGCAAAGGAAGAAGACGTCATCTCCTCTGCGCCGCTGCGTCGGCCGTTCCCGTTTGACTGGCTGGATTCTGGAGGCCACGATCGTGGCTTTTTTTCCAGTTGGATTCTGAAGGCCACGATCGCGTCTTCACTCAAATTCATGATTCGAAAAGAAACGCGTGAAATTTTTTTGCGCGGAAATTTCGGATGGGAATCAGAACCTGGCCATTCGAGGGAAACCACCGCGATGAGGGAAACTACCGGGACTGGAAGAAGATTCCCAGCTGTAGACGCTATTACTGCACTCGTCGATGGCGGCGCTGTCGACGTCCGGGATGCAAACCGGCTGCAGGTAGTCGCCCAAGGTGAGTGCTTGCTCCGGATAGACGATCCCGATGTCGTTCCCGTCGCCCGGCCGACCTGAAAAGCCAAATCTATTGAAAGTGAAAAAAAAATCATTGGAATCGTCTCGTTTTTTGGAGTTGGAAACTCGCTTGGGTTCCAGCCAGCGTGATAAGAGAAGGCGCTGAACCGCTTCGTCTCGCCCGAGCCGTCGCGCGACCGCCCGGAGATGACGTACCCGCCCGTGCACTCTCCCGCCCTGCAATCGGAGCGATTTCCTCCTTATCGTAATACATCACAGAGACGAAAATGAATGAATGAATGAACTGACGCATCGGTGAGACAATGAGCCGCAGTGAGCACGTTCCCCTCGTTGATGACCGACCCCGAGCACGTCCTCCAGCCCTCACTCGGACAATAGACGTAAAGCATGACGTTGAACGGAGCCTCCCCCCTCTCCACGGCCATCCTCCCCCCCTGGCCCCCGGCCCCAAGGACGAGCGCGTCGAGCTCGGGGACGGGGCCATCCGCCTGGTGGCTCACGGCCTGGAGCCGCCTGGCGTTGGACCCGAAGAAGCTGCCCGCGAGGTTCATCACCCAATCGAAGGCACGCATGAAGGAGTTCTGGAACTTGTGGCCGTAGCCGTAGCCCCCGTGGTAGTAGCCGCCGTAGCCGTAGTAGCCTCTGTAGCCGTAGTAACCGTAGCCATAGTAACCCCAGGCGGGTCTGTTCTCGGAACGCTCGCGGCCGCCGCCGTCGTCCTCGAAATCGTCGATCCAGTTTTCGGCGCGAGTCACTTTTCCGGCTTTCGATCCGCAGGCCATCCACGTGTCTGGGAAAATTAATTAATTACTGTGAACATGAGATTGGTTACGGTCGTAACGAAATCCCGAGTCAGAAGGTATTTACAGGGTCATTTACAGGGTAAGCATGGGTGATTCGTATATTTTCGGAGTCAGTTGCTTAAGATTCCGAATTTGAATAACGTCGAATCAAATTCTAGCCGAAGTTCGATTCGTCACGCGCACTTTTCTCATCCGAGATATCGGCAACTTTTCTTGGAAATAGTTGACATTTTCTAAATTATGCGGAGTGTTAGTGATATATAATATATAATATGTAATATATTATATATAGTTGCAAAATAATATATGATTAGTACAGTAATATATAATTGCAAAAAAAATTCGTAAAGAGAAGGAAGGACTCCCCTGTCAACAATTTGGGCCATCGATGGCTTTCCGTCGACGCGTATATAAGTCATTGTTTGGCCATCATCGGCATATGGTTGGCCCGCTTACGGTCGGACATGTCCTGTTGGCCCTTCATCAGGCCAACATTGGCTCAATGTTGGGATACCGCACATGCCCGACCGTAAGCCGACTTTTCACAATGGTGAAAAGATGCAGGAAAAAAAACCCTCATAAACTGCATCTATTGCATAATGCATCTTGAAGAGACAAGGCTACCATTACTGCTACTTCTTCCGGAGGATGAAGGAGTCGTAACTTACCATAGTGCTTTACTACTCCTATCGCCGAGAACAGAAAAACATCCTTTCCGGTTCCTACGGCATCCAGAAGCGGAATCACACGAGATTCCAAGAGTATATGTCCTCCCGCGAGGAGGTCAGGCATGCCTTACTCGTTATGAGCCATTTCAAAGTCTCTTGGTGGAGAAATAAGGTTTACGGAGCTTATCGTGGAAAGTAGTAGGGTCCTCCGACGGATCTCCGGGCCGCAATTTCCTGGTTTATTCAAGGACTAAGTTACATCTTCAGAGAAATGTTTCGAGGAATTCCTATGTCTTCCTCTGCGATCTCTGCGAGAAAACTTCGGTAGAATCCCGGAAAGTGACTCCCTACTACGACCACTTTGGCTCCGTCTCACGCCGGTTTTCGGAACTTTCTCCGTTACATTGGCTCGTCTTCGGCGAATAATTGGCCGAAGATGAGCCAACTTCCCCAGCTATGGCTCGACGATAAAAAAAAAAAACGAAAGTTTTTGACTGGGATTGAATCTCCATAACTTACGGAGTTCCCTCATTTTGTCTGATTCTGCGAAGTTCTGCTGAACTAAATTGAAAATTTTCAAAGAATTGCATACAAAAATTGCAAAGAATGCCTCTAACTCAATTCCTCTGTTCTTCGCCGCTTTTATTTTCGCTATTGGTTTCGCTCTCTCTCTCGTGCTTTTCGAAGAACGTCCGCGAGGAACGCATAAGCGCCAATCCGGAGTCCCCCAAACCATCTCGTGGGGGAGGGGAGGGGGGAGTGGGGAGGAGGGTTTGTCCGTGTCCAATCGATCTGCTGTCGCTAACCTGAATTTCGACCTCGCTGCATCTCATGTACTCAGCACAAAAATGTAACGTGCTCAAAGAAGAAAGAATAAAATAAATGAAAAAGGGAAAAAAAGAAGACAGGCACCAACGCGAAAACAGGATTAAGGATCCGACGTAACTCAAGCACGATATCTGGCAATCGTGGAGGGCGGAATAGAGTCGGCACGATAGGCATAAATAATTGACAAATAATTCCACTTTCTACAGCGAATTAGTGCTCGCAAACAACGGAAAGGGTACATCTCGTTCGAAGAGTTCATTTCTTCCTTTTGGTAGCGAATTCGAATCTCCATCTCCCCAACCCCGGGGAGATGGAGATTCAAATGTGCTGGAGCGATTCTGTGCCGAGAGGATAAGAAGCATGCCCAATTTCGTTCTTCCAGATGCTCTCCTGAGAGGAATTTAGAGACATTCTTTTTTGCCGGAGGTAGAATATTGCAACTGGAAGGGCTTGAAATAAGAAGGAATATTATTTATCTTCTACGAGTTCCCTCCTATCCCCGAGATCGAATCTACGGACGTGAAGAACGTACAGGCAGTGGAGGGGGGCGGCTGAGGGCATTCCGCGAGGGCCTGGAAGGGGCACAGAAGAGCCACGGAAGCCAGGAGGAGCTGCATCTTGCTTCGGGCCGCGCTTGCCTAAAGACTGGGGGATCCGTGTGCGGCGTAGGATCCGTGTGCCCCCCTCCCTTCTCCTCCCCCCTCCCCTCCCCCCTCCTTCCCTACGCGGTCTGAGGGGTGACTGAGGATCCGGGATACCCGGAATCCGATGGAGGAATGACACGTCCTCGCTGCGCATTTTTCACGGGAAGGTACATGTGAGATGTTGTCAGGCTGTCGGGGGCAATCGTCTCCCGCTCGGCTGAATTCTTCCTTGTAGGAGCACATCCTGTTACGAAGATCTTTCTTGATCCTGGTCGGAGTCAAAAGAGCTTCCTTTTTAAGTATCTTCAAGCCATCGTCGCGTCTTGATTTCCGAAGGAAAATCTTCCTAATGAAACGGAAGTGGCAGACCCCGACAGATATACCATTCCAAAAGAAACTGAGCTGGCTGTCTGAAGGAGAGAATCGCCCGAAATCCCGAGCCCCATTCGAGGCAGAGCTGATATGGCCCTCCTATGGTTGAATCTTCGCAAGAGCGGATGGGGAACGTACGAGATGGAAGCCGAGAAGGGCCTTGGGGCTCGGGATCGGTTCGGGCGAACAGATCCCAAGCCCCCAAGACTTCCCTTGCCTCCACAGCTAATCACTTTTTTTTTTTTATTTCATCGCATTACATCCCTTTAAATTTCGGGCTCCGCTTCGGACACGTGCAGACGTAGCTCTTCCATATCTGTTCCAAGTCTGGCCCTTTTAAATCGCCGCGAGGTGTCGCGGTCACTCCTAGAAAGCATGTAAACATGCATGTTAATGTATGGTTACACAAATTCATGCAAACATGGATTACCGTACTAGCTTCCAATATCTGACAAGATTTTTAAAAACTGATTTTGCTACAATCTTTTCATATTTTTCCTATTTTTCGTTCCATAATATCTGAATCTCAGCTGAATTTGGCAGACTTCTCGAAGCTTCAGCTTATTTAGCATAAAAATCATTCTTCCATAGAATAAACTTACCTGTCATGTTTTTTTTGCGTTACTCCATATATTTTCAGGCTATTTGATTGACCTCTGATAAGTTGCCGCTTTTTCAACCGCGTTTCATTCTTCTCTCCCATTGAGAGCATGAAGACGTCATCGATGTAGAACACATGGTTTCTTAATAGGCTTAATAATAAAACAAGAAAATAAGAAAGAGGATAGCAAATAATAAGAAAATAAAATAAAAAGGAAAGAAAAGTTTAAAATATTTTTTTTCAAGGACAAACTAATCATTAATACGTTTACTTCCAACTCGAAATTTCTCGAAACGTTGAAAAAAAGGGAATATTTGGAACTCCTCGCATTCAGTCGCTGGATGGTAACGCACGATTCGAAGGAAAAACGTTCCCGCTCTCCCCTCGCCCTCCTCTTTCTTCCCTTGTTCGACGCTGGAAATTCCGCGCACAGATCGCGACGATTCCCTCGCGGTTGGAAGGGTCTCTCGGTTCCCCTTCATTTCGGGTTTTAAGGCACGGCGACCCGCGGAGGGGCCCCGATGGGGCGGAGGACCGAAGAGATCCGTCCCGTCCGCCCGCTGTCCACTGCGCAGTTTTTTTTGTTTCTTGGAATGGTATATTAATAAGAATTTTCTCTTCACAAGGTATAAAGCGTGCCTTTTCCCCGAAAATATGCGGCACTCCGCAGCGCGAGGGCATGGCATAGTTCCTATTTGCGCCTTGTATGAGAACTTATCAGTACAGCGAATCTCAGCAGATTTTATCTGCGCGCAGAAATGTTCACGCTCTTGAGCAAACGGTGACAGGAGCAGCTCTTAAACGCGTTATTACCAGTAGATTCCTCCGCCTGATGGACTTTCGTAGGACGGTTTCAAGGTCTAAACTGACTGCCAGGACTTTTTTTATTATTTTATTATTTTTTAATTTTTAATTTTTTTTTTATATATCGTGCTGGCGCAAAACTTGCTCCGTCACCGCGCGAAGAAAGCCCTTACGAATCGCCATGTCACGACATGCGTTTCCCTGCCTCGTCGCTTCGCAGGCGAATCTCGCTGGGTGAAACTGCCGCGAGACGCGTTCGGGGGAAACTGGACGGGCGAGGGCGAAGGCCACGTGGACCGCGTCTGCTTGCGTTTGGGGAATTCGTTTTAGAAATATGACTTTCCAAGAATGAGGAGATGGAAACCAATTGACCCAATTTGAATCATTTGCGATTCGTGGCAGGTCGCCCTGTCTGAGAGCTGGAACTACGTTCGGTATGATTCTTATTAGGAAATGGCTTGGTTAGGAGATGAATCACAACACGAGTTTCAGACAGCGAAAGAGTTGCTCTGTCAGGCGGTGTCCGCTTTCGTCTGTCGGAGGCCGGTTCCTCGAAGCTCGGCATTGCCGGTCACGCTGGGAATCGCTGGGGCGCGGCGGATGTCCGGAAGGACATCCATCCGGTTCGGATGGACATCCATCCGGTCGCCCTTCCTCCTCCGAATGCGAAGGAGGGAGTTGAAGTTTCTGGATCCATCCGATGGATCACTCTCGTCCCGCTCCTGGCGCTTCTTCAGGTCCCGGCGAGTTCTTCTGTTGCCGGAGTAAGGCATGTTCTGGGAGTTCCAGCGCTTTCCAGGTCATAGAAGGCAAGAATACTAACGAGGTTGCTCCCTTAGAGAACCGGTTGCACAGATTTAGGAGGTATGTGCCACATTGGAGATGATTGGACAAAGTTGCATGGATAAAATAAGGTCGATGAAAAGAATGGATAAAGGTAAATACCTCATAGGAGGGGACGAGATAAGTTACTTTTATTCTTCTCCATCGGCCCCCGTACGTGACAACGCGACCAAGTGAGCACCGCAAGCACGGCGGTCTCATTAAGGTACTTCCTGAAGATAAAAATCGAAACCCCAAGATCGAAATTTCGATTTATATTTATTGTATTCGTTCCCATTGACCTCTCCCTGTTCGTATGGCGTGTCGCTCCTCGACTTCGACTTTTTCTATCTTCGACTTTTCAGGTGACTGAAAATGCATCGGAAAATGAACTTTGATACCCCTGAGAAGCATGTCTCGAGGAACCTCATCGTCTTCGCTTAAGAACCTTGCTGGAAACGATCGTAAAGACCGTACACAAAGAAAAAATAAATAATTTCATAGGATGATGATGGGATTCACTGCGACGACGACCTGGGCGCCATCTCGCCCCCAGGTTTTGAGAACCTACATCGTTTGAGTAGCTGGCAGATGGCTTCTCTGCGATCCTTGGGACTCATTTTCAGGTCTTCCGTGTTTGGCCAGCTGCACGCATGCCACTGCTATGTGCCGACCAGAGAAGGGACGAACAATGGAGAAACCACGGCACAAGCGTGAATTGACTCACTCGCAGATGAGCCAAGCTCCCTATTTATGGGCCGACCCTGACATGAGAATTCTTCATGCGAATTCGACGGTTCGACTGGGACGAATAAAGTTAATGCATATATTTTATGAATAATGCAAATAATCGGGAGCATCAATTGATTATATCGGGCACTAAACCCGCGAAGGGGAGAAGACCAAGATTGAAGAAAAGTCGAATGGGATTCCTACGAAGGAAGACGAATCCTTGAAAAGAAGAAATGAAGTAAAAGTGATCTTCGCTGGATTACTTCCAGTACTTCCAGTACATCCAGTACTTCCAGCCCGACCGAGGGAGACTTGGCGGGCATGAAAACCTTTCTAAAAGCGGTCGAAATTTTCCTATTTTTGGGTCCTTCCACGTCTGAAATGAGCAAAAAGAGCGGCCAAAACAGAGGTTTCAAAATAATTTTGCGACTATCAAAGAATATGATCGGCAGGCGATGCATCCCACCGTTTCTTTCGAATTTTGTACATTTATTCGCCAAGCAATACCACAGTAGCGAGAGCATAATTATTTTTTTTTCATAGACCTGAACACTGTCCTTAGCAGACTGGCTCGGTCGAAAGACTGAGACACCCGTGCGACGAGCGACAAAAACGTCCCCGTCCTCTTTCCCAGGCTGAATCGTTCCAAGACATCTCACAAAGTGAAGCGCTCGCGAGCGAAAATGGCCCGGCTTGACGGAAGCGTGAATCTCATCGATCGATTATTCCCCGAAAAGTGTTTTCCATGCCAATCTCTCAGCCATCGTCATCGCGACTCCCGTCGGGAAACGAAGGATCCATCGTCTTTCTTCCCGTCGAGGAAATGTATTGATCAATGGGAGGGCAACATTATGATCCCAATTAAAACGAATTTTATCCTCGACGAATTTTGCTTCCAAGTGTGAGAAAAAACTCACATCGTCGCATAAGGAAAGCCGTAATGAATTGCATATCATGACACGGCATTGTTTTCACTGCCCCACGACCGCGCAGGCCAACCTTGCTCGATAAAACTATCTGGATATGCAGGCACTCCCCGATTCCGGTGGTCAAAGATGAGGTCATGAATCTGCTTAGAGCCGAGGGAGTAACGAAGAGGAGAAACGGGGACACTGAGGCGATGGTCCCTTCGGTGTCCATCAGAATTTTGGCTCGAATCATGTCTGCAATTTTTTTAGGGTTTGAAAATGTGGCTTTCGAAGGGTCAGGAAATGTGGCTTTCAAAGGGTCAGGAAATGAATTTTTTTCATGGTGTCCAGTTATTCTTTAATGGCGGCTGGGAAGTTAACAGTCGGCTTGTCTGAGAGCTGGAACTACGTTCCTACCGAATGCCGTCTGCTAATTCGGGCAGAGCGTTCGGAATGAACTGTTGAGACCGTTCTAAGAAGCAGCAGAAAGCCGATCGGGGTCCTTTCCGATGAGTCTTTTTAGAGGGGGCATGAGAATACGCTTGAGCCGAACATTTTCGGTCAGAACATCTAAAATCACCTTTCCATTGCGTGCTTTTAGCCTGACGAGACTTGCGACCAACCCTGAAGAGTGGTTTCGTGAGCCGTCGAACGTTTTCGCTTCCTGAACTCTGAGCACAAAAGGAAAGAGCAAACTTTTCAACTGCTGGCTTTAGTTGCATTTCGTTAAATTCGTGTTAAAATTCGACATCGAACAGAATGCCTCAAAGGGTTAACCCCACTCCGAATCTCAAGAAAATCGTGGGAAGCCACCAGGAACACCAGCGTCGATTATCACGGGGCAAAGGCAAAAAAATGAGACCGATGGAAGCAGGCGTGGGATAAGGGGAGATAGGAACCAACGAGATAACCTGAGTCCTGTTGTCTCCCATCAGCTCGACGGCATCGTAACCAGGTGAGCATTCGCAGATGGCACTTAACATTGATTCAACGTTGATTTGGTGTGGGCCAAATGTTTCTCTGTTGAAGGTTTATATTTCTATGTTGATTGACAACATTGAGACCATCATGGTTTATACACCAACATTGACTCAATATTGAATCAATGCTGCACTATTCACGGCGGAATTGACAACATTAAATCGGCCTCGATTTTCGAATCGGTGGATTCTTTTGCAGTAAAAGTTCTCGTTTTTTTATATCTAACCTTAGGATTTTTTGTGTGTACTTCATCATGATTAGTTAAATAGTGTTTTTAATCGCCCAGAATACATTACGATCACGAAAAATTCTTGATTTAGGGCAAATAAGAAGGTAGCTGAAATGACGTCTGGCCTAAAGTCTATCGCAGCAAACAAGCAAAAAGAAAAAAAAATTCTAGCGAGTATCTGACATGGCGGAACGGTCTCAATACAAACGTAAAACAATAAAAAGGAGATTAAATAAATATAAAAAAATATATATATATAATAAATCCTTCCACGGCACGTGCCGGTATTGGAGATATTCGGGGGGATGAACCACATCCCAGACCTCATACTCGCCTAATTCTGAAGGACACGGCGAAGGATGCTGGCCGTGCCCAAGATTGCTGTACGCTGGAGGAAANGATGGCATGGATCGACTACCAGAAGGCATACGACTCGGTGCCCCATTCACGGATCATCGAGTGCCTCAGGATGTACATCAACCTTGTGGCGGTCAACTTCCTCGAACAGACCATGCACCGCTGGAAGACGGTCATGTCCCTCAAGGGACGGGACTCCCCTCCGACAACCCTTTTGTTCTTCCCATCCTATATATTAAAAACGCAATGAAGCTGCTTTCGTGCGTATGAAGCCTCGGATGCTTGGGTCTGTGTGCATGTCCGCAAGTCCATGTGCGCATGTACGGCGCCTTCTGCCTGCCAAAGGGTGTACCTCTCTCGCTGACGAGCACTTTTTTTCCGGCCTTTGTGACTGTCGGATCTATTCTCGAGAACGTAATAGCCCGAAGGTGGTGGGGGAAGAATTCGGGTAGCATAAGAAAACTAAAAACAAAAATGACGTGACCGAGAATTGAACACTTGACTTACTGATTCTTAAGCAAAATTGTTACTACACCACGGAACTCAGCGCATACTGGATTCAACCTCCGTTGAAGACGAAATTCATCAAAAATTAATTCGCGTTGGCAGGGGTTAAAATCGGAATGCGAACAGTGAGTTGAGGGTGACGACCTCCGCATCCCGCACAAACGCTGCCAGCAGCAGGCATTACAAAGAAACCTCACGTACATAGACATACATAGACTGAAGAAGTATAGGAAATGGATAGGGTGCCCAGGGAGCCGAAAGGTGCGCCGACGTATAGGGTCATGCAGGTCCGAGCTACGAATTAGTAATGAGTGGAATAGCTGTAGCGCTTGAGTCGTGATGGTGGCTTATGCGTACGCCCTTTGGTACCAGGGTCCAAGTGGTCCATGTACTCCCCTGAACCGAATTCCGCAAGTATATGGTAGGCCGTAGGCCAGGTGCAACTCGATTGGTGCAGTTGGTCATTAAAAAAAAGTCTCCGATTTTTTTGGTTGCGATGAATTCTTGTGAAATTTTGTCGTCGCTGTCTCCTCGGAAATCGAATTCTTGATTAGATGAAATAAATTTTTTTTGCCATAAAAAATCGTAAAAAAAATTGTTTTGCAAGCTATGCTGCAATGGGCAGTCTTGTAACCCTGAATTGCAAACCTTAGTTTCCTAGGGCTGGGGCGCCTGGGCGACGGAGTTTAGTGGCCCTGTGGCTGATGGATCACAAAGGCCACCTGGGTGATATTTTGGCAAAAGAAAATTTCTTCTTTGCTTTTAGGAGGGTATGAATACCCTGACTTCGTCGGTTACCATAGTAGCACCTAACGATGAATTATTATCCAGACGTTGAATCAACATTTAAACAATGTTGATTCAGTGTTACGGGCTACTGGGAAAAAGATCATTTTTCATGTGACCACCTTTGACAATGATTTTTAAAAATCTTACTCCATCAGTGTTTGTAAACATTTCAGCCGATCTACCAGGAAGTATTTATTTCAAGAGAAGCGTTCGATTTAGTGCAAAATAAAACTGATTGAAAGGCACTCAAATTTCGTCGCATCAAACAAACAGAATTGCATTTTCAGCTCGCATAAGTAGGAGCAAGGATTTAAAACCTTTCTGAGTCAGACCAATTTCCCGATATAAGCACCGACGTGTTTATGTAGGCCATTAAGGGCTTGGGGTAGGTGAAATGCCGTGATGACATTGGATATATTCTTATTAAACTTGAAATGTAATGTAAAACTCCTATTTTCTACTTACTAATAATACAGAAGAGTTTTTCTGGGGCGGTCTTGATGGTATAAGGTCATCATGTATAGTGCTTCCCGTATGAATCTTTTTTTTTTTTTTTTGCTGCGTAACATGAATAGTGAATGCCTTTGGCACGTATCTAAGTAATAAAGGTTATCCAAAGAAAGGAAAGACTCACGTTAAACAACTTCACCACGTTAGCATTGCTCACGTATAAATTAAAACGACGCTTCAGTATGGCATCAATCCCTTAACATTGATTCAATGTTGATTCGATGTTGAAAAGAGCAACATTGCGAGAACGTTGTCCGGTCAATGTTACATCAACAGATGTCTCGCGAGACATCTAGCGAGACATGCGAACAAACAAGATTTCCCGACTGTGAATTGTGATGGCGACTACTTGCCCACGTGGTTAGTTACCTTATATATGCAATCAGTCTGCGTCTCTAGTACTTTTGGAGCAGTACTTGGTATTTTCTCCACAAACGACGCCGGGGAAGGTATTCGTCTTGCTGCATATACTCCACCAATGTGGCAACCCAGCAAAACAGGACCCAGGATAATTCTGAGCAGGGTGATGGACAAAAAAAGTTTGCGAGGTCTTATTACTCCATGAGACCACGACGCTCTGTTTCTAAATCATGATCATTGCGTGGAGTGAGGGCAGCATCGTATTACGTCCCAGTAATTGCGCCGGTGTCCTGCTTCCGGGTGAACAGGATGTCTCTTTCTCATCTCGGTATTAAATTCGGGTTTTCCTTGAACCGGGTTCATGGAATTCGGTTCAAGGAAAACCCGAATTTAATACCGAATTTAATACGATCCTATTAAGCGGATTCCGAGGATGGAGATATTGTCCGGATGATATTCAAATAATGCTTAAGTCATGAAACGGCGCATGCGCATGAATTAAACAGATTGTTGAGACCTGTCGTATCAACGTTGAACCATCGTGAATTCATCGTTTCTTCAACGTTGAAGAAAATGGATTTTCAATATGGAGTCAACGTTGATTAGCAAATGTTGAATGAACGTTGCAGTGTTGCTTTTGAACATTGAATCAATTGTTGATAAAAAATGAACTGAATCAATTGTTGATAAAAATGAACTGAATCAATTGTTGATAAAAATGAACTTTCAATGTAGAATCAATGTTGACAGGCAACGTGGTTTCAACGTTAGCTGCGTTGACGAAATAACGTTGATTCAACGTGAGTGTGCAACTTGGGTTGCAATCACTCAAAGTCGGTACCAGGCTTGTGCTGGTCTATTAAAATTGTCTTCTAATTTGGAACGTGAAATTTCTGATTGTATTTTTTTTCCGAAAGTCCTGTGAAAATACCGCAAATCGGTTGGACTTGCTTCGCCTTGAACGTTCTTTGGATTAGGTCATCAAGTAATGAGCCATTGGCAGTGCTTCTAGTGAACTGAACTAAGTGCAAGGAATGTCAGTCTCGACGTGTATCGGCGCAAGAGTTCGTTATCAGGGGTGCCTAGGAGGGAAGAAGTATTTTGGCCACTGTGCTGTACTGTAAAATTATTAGTGCTATTATTATTATTATTCATTAAGAACAATAATAATAGCACTAATAATTTTAGGAATTAAAGGTTCCACTAATATCCTGCAGCGAAGCTGCGGAGTTTGCACTGTCAGGTTGAAGTCAAGTACTGAAATGGTAGATGCCCAAAATACAGGGTGGCGAAAAAGTCTCGCCCCAATGAGATTTTTAAAGTTAATTTCCAGGCACGTGATGGGTGAAAAATTAACTCAAGACGAGAAGGTGAACTTGATTGTAATGTATGGAAGGTAAGGTGCTTCAAATAGATCGATTATTATAGATCGAATCGATGATCGATTATCAAATCGATTATTATTCAAAATTCCTATGGGGGCCGATTTTTGGGTCACCCTGATACAGCATTGGTCAAAATGTCTTCTTCGGACCTAAATTTGTGATTTCAGGGGTATGAGGAGACTCGGTCCAGAGCTATCGGAAAGGACACTTTTTTCAATTTGTGGAACACGAGCAAAAACTGGGCTCCATTGAAACTACGGGTTTTCCCGAAAATTAGAGTCATCTGTGGCAAACGCACGGAACCAGGACTGTGAATCCGAATTCAGTTCTTACGCAAAGAATCTCTTGATACAGATATGGAAGAGCACCCTATTCGTGGAAGCGCTATCTGCGTCGTGGAGCACAAGGAATTCGAAGGGAAGGACTCATACCTACTGAAGGAGGATCGACTGCGTCAGCTGTTGCTTCAGGCTCACTGCAGGGACAAGCCGGTCGCGGTGGTGTCCATCGCCGGGGGGGCGAGGAGGGGGAAGTCCTTCCTCTTGAGTCTCTTCCTGAGATACCTCAGGGCTCAAGTGAGTCGCGCTGTCCCGATGTCTTGTCTCGGTTCTCCAGCTGCCGCAGTTGCCTCGCTGTCCTGCAAGGCTTGCCTCACTCCTCGCTTTCTACTTTTCTCCTTCGTTTCAGGGGTCTGAAGATTGGCTGGAGAATGAGGATTTTCCCAATAAAGGGTTCGCCTGGAGAATGAGTTCCAAGGGAGTAACAACTGGGATCCATATCTGGGACGAAATTTTCACAATAAGGCTCCAAAATGGGGAAGAGGTGAGTTTCATGTTCTTCGCTTTTGACCCGATGAATATGCGGAATTCTAATCATTGTCGCTATTTTCTACGGGGCAACGTTAAGTTTATAGTGCTTGCTTGTGGCCCACACACATTAGCAGAGTCTAAGAAAGCCATCGTAGAGGACGTTTTCAGCATTTTCAGGGATACACCACATACCGTTTTGCAAAGTTTCACTTTTGCCTGAGTCGCGTTACTGAACAGGGCGGCGGACATGAGGCCGAGTAAGGAATTGAGTAAGGAATCTTCCATGTGCTCCTGGCTGTTGTCAAGTTTTCCGTTCCCAACTTCAAACATACGTCATTTGTGCTATTTTAAAATCATATGGTGCGAGAAAAAGTTCACCCTGCTTTTTATACATGAGAACATATCAACAATTTTAACCGTTTTTTTGTTTTGGGTGGATGTGCCTTCGTGGTGGCCAGAGTGGAAGATTTCCTCTGTGAGTTCACGGACTTCTTCCAGCGGGTGCAATATCGTTGTGTGCACTTGATGGAAGGCTACGGTTGCGATGGAGCGCTAGTTTTGGGGCACAATGATGCCGCATGCGCGCATCCATTGTATTGGAGTAGGGAAAATATTTTGGCAACTTCTTGACTTTCCTTAATAGCGTTTAGCAATTACCTTAATAACATTACAAATTCTTCCTATCACAAGACTGGCATCCGGCGTCTTCCTCCTTCTCCCACGGCTGAATTCCATGCCAAAGGGACCCAGATCAGCCAATTGGGATGCAAGCATGAGTCCCCCCCTCCCCCCCAAAAAAAAACTATTCAGGAACTAGTTGAGATTCCCGAATCCTTCTTGCAGGCATGCATTCTCTTAATGGACACCGAAGGGACATTTGACTCCGAGAAGTCCCTCGCCCACAGCGTCACCGTCTTCGCCCTCAGCACCCTCCTCAGCTCCGTCCAGATCTACAACCTCAAGGAAAACATCAACATGGACGACCTTCTTCACCTCCAGGTATGGTTTCCTTGAATTGGAACAAGTCGCGTCGGAGCGGGCATTTCGCCACCCTTTTTATGTTGAGTCACGGGCCAGTCAAGGGTGTGTAGTGCAGTCCCACGTGTTATTTCAGTTAGATGGTTGTAAAGGCCATTGGCTTCCGACATCGTCAATAGTCCATGGCTTTCTGCATTGCCAAAAATAATGCCAATAGCCTTTCGCAAGCTCATGGGAGCTTGTCATGAAAGAGATGAAGATGCCTTCTTGCAAATAATAGTAAAATTATAAAGAATCGCTAGGAACTTCGAGGTTTGAAAAAGCCAAAGCAACAACGATTGTAGAAAGCTCAAATTTTCCATAAACTCCAGTAGCGATTTGCTTTTGGAACATGCTGAACAATATGGAGATGAATATAATGAAAAAAGTGAACATTATCAACTTGATGAACGAGATGACGATGAACGTGGACATCACTACCATCCTCCATTGCAGTTCTTCACTGGGTATGGCCAATTGTGTCTTGAAGAAAGCGAAGAAAAGCCCTTCCAGAACTTCCTTTTCCTCGTCAGGGACTGGATGAACTACCACGAGTTCCCCTACGGAAGCGAAGGAGGGGAGAAGTTGCTGAACGAAAAGCTCCAGGTCCGTCTTCTTCCCAGTCAATGCAATTTAAAAAAAAGCTATTTAAACGTCATTAATGATTGGGGTTGTTCGCCGGTATCAGACTTCCGGGATATCGAGTGAAGAAGTAAAGAAAGTAAAGGAAGACATCAAGCACTGTTTTACGAAGCTGACTTGCTTCCTGATGCCTCATCCCGGTGAGAAAGTGGCTGGAGATCCTAGTTTCGAAGGGTGCCTTTCCGGTGAGCTCCCATTCCTCTGCCTGAGGGGATGTTTCCATGAAACGAGTAGGAATCGACCCAAAGTGGAGGAGTTTGATGAAGTGAATGCGTCGTAATGGTCTCTGTTTCAGATATAAAGGAAGACTTCAAGAATCAGCTCCGTCATTTGGTGCCTCAGCTGTTCTCACGAGAAAATCTGGTCCTTAAGACGATCGCTGGCAAGCCCATCACATGCAAGCAACTCTTCGAATTCTTTAAGAGTTACGTGGAAGTTTACAACAATCGGGAGGAAATGCCCGAGCCGAAAGGCTTCTTTGAGGTAATTCTCAGACAATGCAGTCAGATGAATCGCAGTCAGATAACCAGTCAGAACCACCCTTTCCATCCCTAGGCCACCGCCGAGGTCCAGCATCGGAACGCACACGATGAAGCTGTCGACGACTACACTCAGCAAATGAATAAACTCACTTCCGAAATTCCCGTGCCGTCTCAGAAGAGAATGGATGAAGTCCACGCCTCCCTCCGAGTGGAGGCAATCGACAAGTTCAGGAGTTCCAGGAAGATGGGCAGACGAGAGCTATCGGCAAGATATCAATCGCTCCTGGATAAGGTCAGTGCATAGATATATTTCTGGGATTTCCGTTTCATTCCCGCACATCGTGGAAATGACATGACCATCCGAATCGTCATAGAAAGCCCTGGTGCTCGACTGCTTACATTGCTTGATTTCCTCCAACCGATATGCGAACTCCTCATACGAGGGTAAATCGGAAAATAAGTTCCCCATGTCTCTCAAAAAAGAAATATATTTCCAACATTTCTACACGCAGTGGTAATATGAAACCCTCTTCCCACTCCACTTTTCTATATAATCACCCTCTACATGCATACATTTTCCCCATCGGTAAATGAGTTTTTCCAAACCCTCGTGAATGAATTCGGCGACCCGAGCGCTCATCATCCTCCACACTCGCTAGGCTCCCAGCAAATGCACGGCACCACCTTACCATTTTTCCATCGTCACCATACAAGGCAACGATCTAACGGTGGATATCGACGTGTCGTGTGGATGGCCTTAAAAGTGGACTTTCAACGTTAATTTTAGGTCGAAAGCAAGGGAAAGATAATTTAGCACGAGCGGTTAATCGGAGGCAAAAAGGGTCCGGCCTCTATCTCTTCGCTGACAGGACAAGCCATCTAAGGAGACGACTGATGGCAAATAATAAAACGGTGTTCAAACAACAAGGAACAACAAGCATCTAATTAAAGTTAAATTAAATATAAAAAAGTATCACAGATAGGAGGTGTTGAGGAGGACTTGAAGAGTGGCGAAGGTAATGAAGAGGGCGAATAGGTCCTGGATTGAATCGCTGAAGTCTGTTTCCCGGCAGGGTGGAACCTCACTAAAAGATCTTGGAGACTCTTTCCCGGACGTACAGGGTCTCGGGCGCAAAACGTCAAACAGAAGACGGGCAGACGAACAAGAGACTCGCACACACAGCGAGAGACGACTGATGAGAGACTGTCTCGATAGAGCACACGGACGTACACGGAAGACGGAAGACGAAGGCCGGTAGACGGGATGGCGTGACTGGATGCCGCACACTCTCCCCAGACACAATAGAGGCAAATAAACTTTTCTTGGCAAATAAACTTATATATGGGCAGTGGCGCATTTTACCGGGGGGGGGGGGGGCAGCCGCCCCCCCATGACGCCCCCTTGGAGATAACTTTCTCTCCTGATATGGCTCGGGTGGGGCTTGGCGTCTCCACTCTGTTGCTCTGCCCCCCCGTCCTTTCAGCCAAAATTCGCCACTGGATATAGGCATAATCCTTACAGGACCGCGGACATGAGACAACTCCGCGGGAGCTCTGGGGCTCTAATCTTAGCGTCTTCGAAATGTTTAAATATTATCAATTATCAATACGACAAACGGGTGCATGTTGGTTTGCCCAACAAAAATCGTATCACAGTGCTGACTTCACAGTTCGTGTGCGCTTCCAAGAGTGCGGCCATACTGTCACCGTCATTGTGTATGCTCCCTGCCACCAGTGTATGGATGATAGGGCAGGAAGCAGTGTAGGAATTAGTAAATGTACCGTCACGCTAGTACTAACAGTGTTTGTTCTAGAGACATGGGAAACTTATTTTCCGATACCCCCTTGTAGAATCTCCATGCCACCACAATTCATCCGGCTAATTAGACCATTGGCTATCGAATCCAGCTCGAAAGGGACGAGATTCCCAGTCTGAAGTGGCGGATCTCCTAGCAAGAAGTATTTTTCAGAGCGAGCCAATCGTAGCGAAGAGAGGCTCCGCAGTGGAAGGCCTTCAATTACATTTCTCCTGCAAATTATTTGGGAATTACCTAAATGGCAAGAAAACACCTCTCCGAACCAGCCTTACAATCATGTCCCTCTAACCTCATAATTAATTCAAATAGAATTTGCACGAGCTACACGAGAAGTACGAGATGCAGCGAGACGTGCGAGAGGAGCGAATCAAGACGGAACTGATGGAAGCCGCGACCCACGTCCTCAAGGAGTACGGGGAGGACATGATCGAGGTCATGATCACTGTCCCCCTGGTGACAGAGGAGGAGCTGCAGCTGGAACACGAGGAGAAGAAGAACTGGGCGATTCAAAACTTCATGAAAGAGAGGGGTATCGCCAGTGAAGATTTATTCAGAAAATATGAGGAAAAACTGGAAAAGGTTAAATTTTCAATAATTTCTTCATAGTTTGTCCATTTTCCTTATTCAGATTGTCACTTGTAGCCTGCACATGAGAGTCCTTCTTCAGGAACCATCCGTTTAAACACATTCTTTCTTCTCTTCTCTCTCCCCCTCCATCCCCAAACCATTCCCGCACTTCCAGGACATCGACTCCCAATCCACCCTCTACTTCACCAAGAGGAAATGGAAGGAGAACATCGCCGACCGGGACCTGCTCAACGCTGTCCAATACACCGTTTGGATCTACTGCACCCAGATGGGCCGGTCGTGCGGAGGAGCCATCATCACCGAAGAGGAGCTGGAAGAGAATCACATGAAGTACTACAAAGAGGCGCTCGAGACCTTCTCACAAAGAACTCAAATCACTCTCTGTCCATATCTTCTCGATGGACACCATACGAGATTGATAATGGTAAATTTTATTTGTACCCATTATATTTTGAGCTGCTCTAAATGCTGGGAAATGTTGTATTTTCATTGTTTTCTCTTTCCTTTTCTTGGAAGCGTTTGGATGAAGTGTATAAAAAGTATATCGATATCAGAGAATTAAATGAAAGACAAGCAGAAACGGAACTCATGAATGCCAAGGAGGAGGCCATGGAAGAATACAATGGCATGATGAGCAAATTTCTGGTAGATTTGATGAGCGAAGAGAAACTAAACAAAATGCATGCGAACTTCCGTCAACAGACAACTGAATCCTTCGAAGAGACCGGAGAGAAGTACCCTCATCTTGCGAAAAAGCACACCCACGATTTGGAAGTGGTTAGTCATTATTTTAATTTCGGGGTAAATTTAAAAGCATATTTAAAGGACTGTATTATGCGGTATTCATCGGAGAAATGGTCTCTTCACAGCGCATGTCAAGCGAACACGAGCGATACAAAGCCTTAAGAAACTCCCAAGAGCTCCAAGCCGAGGCTGCCCTACAGGACGCGGTGGAGCGAAGCATGACGCTCTACGAGCTCGAAATGTCCTGCCTCTGCGGCGGCAAGGGCACGGCCGATGGAGGGAGGCAAGGACCGACCGATAGTCACCTCCTCACCGTGGAGGAGCTGCGCGAAGGACATGAGAAGTACCGATGGGAAGCTCTGAAGGTCTTCTGGGAGACGGGGGCCCAGTGGCAATACCTCGGCGTGAAATACAAGGAGGAGCTGGAGGAGGTAACACTCATTTACTAATTTTCATCATTCTCCATTTCTCAAAAGTCCTAGTTGATTTGAAGTAGTAAGCTCATAACCCTCAATTGTAGATCAGGGTGTAAGAATCTCGTGTGATCGCGCAACACCCGAGAGCAAAGAAAGAATTACAATGATGATCGCCTTCTAAGTGTTAGGTGTTGAAAAGCACACTGCACCATGGTGTCCCTGCTTTGGACCTCATATGTCCTCGTGTCACGCTTGTGAAATGGTTAAATGGGTATCATTCATACAAACATAATATAAAAGGTGTTGGGGCAGAGGGGGGAATAGGAAGGAATCGCTTTTGTTTCTATTCGGTTCTCATGTTTGTTTTTTCCAGGTCTCAGTCAGCATTTGAAAATGAAGAAGACGGCTATTTTCAACACCTAAAAGCCTATTAATAAGAAACGTTATTTGGTTCTCTGGGGTCGGTAGGCTCATATACCGTGTTTCGACATTCGTGCCTTACTGTCAGACGCGTGATCGCTTTCGTTGTGCCTGAAAATTGCTTTCGCTTTCTGAAACTGAAATTCCACCTCCCACTTTCGACTCGAGATCTTCTTTCTTTGTGCAGAGATCTTCGGTGAGAAGAGGATGAGAAGCATTTGTTAAATATCGACTGGCATTATGGTGGCAGTCTCAATAGCCGCTGATCCCTCGCCAAATATCGAAATTGTTACCGCTCTTTTCGCAAAACAGTTACACGTTGACTTTTCCATTGTTCGTGCTTTTCTGTACTTTCGTTTCCTTCCTTGGTCCTAAATGTAATGCGTCAGTACTATCTGCCGATGAAACATCCGGACACCTACGTCCAGCGATAAATCATTGCGTCAATCGCATATGCTACGGATTTGCAAGTACTGAAACTGCACTTCCGACCACCATTGGAAGCTCCATGAAACCAATAGTGTCATTTGTGAATTTCAGGGTTTCAAAAGTATAGGATCGTAAGTGCATTACACTTCAGACTTCACGGAAAGTTGTGCACATGTTCAGCCATACACACGTGAACGTGAACTTGAGGAATGAGAGTGATAATGTACGTGGTGTTGCAAAATAGTTGCACCCTTCAGAGCCTGCGACGAATAGCGTGGAAAGATTTTTTAAATGCTGTAAGAAAGGCCAATATCATATAGTAAAAAAAAAATTTCAACTTGATTTTAAAATGGCAGGCGTCCTAGGTGACAACTATCACGTTGCAAACGTAGAATGTGTTTTCGAAAATTGCTAAAGATGAGGATGCAATATTCAGCACGAAAAGAATGAATTGCAAAAACTGAGATGAAAATTGAGTGAAACGGGACTGGAAGAAGATTATAAGCGATATTTATTCGGTTTTAAGGTTTTAGACCCCTAATTCTCTAAAAAGAACATGAAGCCATCAGATCAGAAAGTTTGATCTACAGAAGAAACAGGAAAAGGACTTTTATGGCTATGAAGAATGACCAGGGAAGTCAACTAATTACAATGTTTTTGGGAGCATGTCGGCTCAATTATGAAAGATCGACGGATAAAAGTGAAAATTGAATTTACGAAATAATCAACTTTCAATCGAGAATATGAGAGAAAAATTGCGATGGTGTTAAAGCATGTTGAAAGATGATGTTGATTTGTTCCGAAATTTGTTTAAATTTTTGGCTGAAAGAATCAGGACATTTTTTCGGCACATGTTGCTAACAGAGTTTAAATTTTACGTATTATATTGTGTGATGATAAGAAATCAAGGGCAACATTCGTTTTTTGTCAAACTCAACTGGTTTTGTCTGGAGGTAGGAGACAGGCATTATGTAGGCATTTTGTACCAACCCTTATGGTAATAATCTGCGTCAAATATAAGGCCCTTAAGTGCCTGTCATTGCTATGAGGCTATCGTGCCTTATGGCTTCGGTCTTTTCTCATAGGGCTTGATGAAGGCGAAAGAAGAGCTCGAGGAGAAACGGAAATCCAAAGAAAAAATAGTGAGAAGATTGCTGGAGAAAACTGTCAGGGAAAAGGCTGAGGATTATCTCAGCCCTACCCGAATGAAGAATTTCTACGGAGAAAACGTGGTGGACAAGAGAGAGCTGGAAAAAAACCACGAGGAACACAGGGACGCAGTCGTGCGCTCCTTCATGGAAGACGGAGACTGGGCCCCTAGTTGGCTAGTAGAAGAGTACCGAGCCATCCTCGAGACCGTGAGTGCTCTCCGTAGCTTCCCCCCTACTAGTCGAATCGTCTATTCATCTAAATCTCCTGGTAGAACCTGGACGTCTGGCACCGCTCATTGGAGGTGAACATGGCAGAGGAGCGCGCGAAGCGTTACCAGGAGAAGAACGTCTTCGGTCTGGTGGGGACACTGGTCCCCCCTGTGGCAAATTCGATCATCGGCCCCGGCGCCGGTGGGATGGCCCTCGCCGCAGTGGGCGCCGCCGAAAGCATTTTCCCGCTGGTGGTTTGGAAGTCAAGGTGGCGGAACGTCGCGGTCCTTCCCGACCTTTCCAGCATTATCATGCCCCTCAGAGGTCGTGCAGTGAGTCCTTCAATCGACGAAGGAGAGGATTCGGGAAGAGGAGGAGAGCCCGAGGAACAAGAAGAGTCAGAATGATCATGGGAAAAAATTAAATATGACGTTATGGTGAATGTGGCGGTACTAATGGTATCAATGAAGTGTGGTGCCTTCAAGGGCATAAGAGTAAAGTTCGGATAGAATTATTCAGTGAATTTATGGATAATATATAGGCCACGTTCCTTTCAAGCTATTCCGAAATATTTGATTTCGTCTCCCCCCAAGATGAGGCGAAAATCAAGCGGCAAAAGTTCTGGAAAGCCCGTCAGCATTAATCTTCCCGGTCAAATCGACCTAATTCGGTTGGAGCTGACAACGGCGAATATGTTTCTCCATCGATGCATTCTCTACCCAACCGTCCATCGCAGATGATATCGAGCTTTGAGTTCGCTGGTGGGATTTCGCCGTTTCCTGCATGGCGTTAGGAGTGGAAATTATTCCCATTGTCCATAGGGAGTTCTTTTTGGTGACTTGGAATATGACTTTTTTACGGTTTTCCTTCGATGCGTCGGCTAGTTGGGTATGGTGATCGGCGCACAAAATCGTTTGGATTACGATCGGATGAAATCGACCGAGAGTAGAGCGTTTTCCTGTCTCAGAGATTCTGGGAACCGAAAGGCCTTCCGGAGAAACTAAAAGAAAGTTGCGGGACGAGGATCCAACGGAGAGGAAAAAACTTGTCAGAGCGGGTGTAGCCTCTGGTGGGGCTTTGGTTAGTGAAAGGAGTACCAGTTGATCCCTTCGCTCCCATATTTGCTACGTAAGCTGCGTGCATTCGCGTAGAAACACTTGACTCTTCTCTGCCTTTCCTGCATACCATTACGCGTGCCTGCATACCATTATCTAAAGCTGCTCGTAGTGGCTGTCCCTTGCTTGTGATCCCTTGCCCCCCCCCCCCCATCTACAGCCCGACAAAAGGCCCATTTTCCTTCATGATAGCCAATCCGACTGCTACAGCTCCCTCTTTCGAAATTGTACTCCATCCCTAGCCATCGGACTTCTACAGCGACTCAAAGCCTCCCTAGTGTCCAGAAACACTGCCCCCTCCGCGATACATAACTCCTTCAACCTGTCGTTAACCCCTTCCGACCTGGACCACGTGATTACATCTACCCAATCCCCGCAACGAACGCATCTACACATCCTAGGCATCTTACTTACTTAATGTTATTGATTCCTATTGACACTCCTACTGCTTTAGACTTATACTTTGCAGTTCTTCACACTAGTTGTAACCCGGTAAGACTGTACTGTCCTAGTCCTTGCAATAAAAGGAATACTACATGTAATGCGCTAATAATTAAAGTAATTAAGCTGATCGATACTGATCTAATGTGAAGTTGGAGGTAACTATCAGAAAACTTATGAATACTGCTACAAAAGTAGCCAGGAAACAACTAACACACGACTTAGCTGACAGAGCCTCGAGAGTATCCTCCAACACGTCCTCACGCTACGAACGTCAACATCAACATCAACAGAAACGTGCCTTAGCTTGAGCCGGAGGTTTTCAATAGGTGAACCATTCCATCTCGTTGTCCTAGTGGTACCGGGATTTACCCTAATTTCAGTCAGCAGTGACATTGAAGCGAGGGCATGGCATAGTTCCTATTTGCGTCTTTGTATGAGAACTCATCAGTACAGCGAAACTCAACTTTCGAAGGGTCAGAAAATGAGTTTTTGAAAGATGTCCAATAAATTCTGATTTGTGGTTGGGGAAAATACCACTCGGCTGTCTGTGAGCTGGAAGCACGTTCCTATGGCTTTATTCTTGGGGGGAAAGGAACGGTAAAAGACGAATCCCGGCTTCGAATTCAGGTAGAGCATGCAGAACTGTTTAGCCCCTTCTAAGGTGTAACTGCTTAGGATCACGAGGGAGAGAGAGGCCGCCTCGGTAACGAGGTGTCCGCTCTCGTCCAAGGAGTCTCTTCAGAGGTGGCCTGGGAATACGCTTCAAGCGTACCCCTCCATTTGACTCAACTTGGAATCCATAGAGAATCGTGGAGAGCCATACCATCGGAAATACTTTAGTCGATTATCACGGAGGAACGGCGCATAAAAAAAAATAAACGGTCGATGGAAGGATGATGGAATAAAGCGAGATAAAAGCCAAGGAGATAACCAGTAACACACTCATCTCCATTGGTTCCGTCTCGATGGCTGAGGCTTCGCAACCAGGTGAGCATTGCAAGCGCTCTCATTAAGTCACTACCCATATCGTGTCGGTCGGTTTTTTTAGCCCACCCCTTTCGAACGTGGAACGCCCCCACCCCCTCCTCCCCCACCCACCCACCCACCCTTCCCTCCACCATCGTGTCATTCGGCGACTGAGAAGTACTGACGCCGTCAAGGCGACTTCCACCCTTCTCGAGGTGAAGACTCTTTTTCGAGTTCAAGCTGATATCGAAGGCTGCAAAAATGATTTCGCACTCCGAATAATACGCGCCAAAAACCGCCGCAAGGATCGGGCCGTGTCTCAGATCGATCCCCTTGTACTTGCAATACCTGCACGGCCTGAGCAAGGAGAGGAAGCTTGAACTGCATCTATAATTTAAGAACAAAATAAACGTGTTACCAACAAGTTCATTTACTCTGGCGTTTTTATTTGGACTATATGAAAATGAAGATATGTGAAAATGAAAGGATGGTTATTAAGTCTTTTAGGGTGTTTACAGGGTGGTAGTGACCAAAGTAGAAGGAGTTGGATCGCCAAACTTGCATGTTGCACTGATAATGACATGGGAATGCCATTGACCTCATAAAAAGGCGAGATGGCTCCACTGTCACTGCCACATAGTGGCACCATCTCGACGTATATAAGGCATAAGACCTTCCCATGTCCTTATCTGTGCACCCTGCAAGTTTGATGATCCAACTTCATCTACTTTGGTCGCTACATCAATGTAAAGACCCCACAGGACTTCATAACCACCCTGTTATGCGTGACTAGATATTCCGGGAAATTTTCTGATCGTATTTTTTCCCCGAATGTGCTGTGAAAGAATCGATACTCTGTTGGACTCGCTATATTTCGAATTTTTTTTCTGATTTGGGTTCAGAATTGCCGAGCCATTGCTTCTAGCTGCTTCCAGTGAATTGAAGTAGTCGGAAGAAAAATGTCAATCTCGACTCGTATCGGCTCAAGAGTATGTTTTCAGGGGTGTCTAGGTGGGAGGGAGTACTTTAGTAGCTGTGCTTAATAATTATATCAATAACGATGCCGTCTTTTGATAATAATTTTACGCATTTAAATGATACATTATAATAAAGTATATTATAACATCATAAATAAATTTGAGCTTGTAAATAATAATAGTTTTTCAAATAATATGTTCCCTTGACAACCAGCAGCGAAGCTGCTGAGTTTGCACTCTAGATTCAGGAGTGAAGTCAAGTATTAAAATGTTGAATGCCCAAAAAATATCGACAAAAATGGCGTCTTAGAGGCGAAACTTTCAATTTTAAAAGGTTAAGGTGCCTGCATTCAGAACTATCCGAAATCGGCAATTTTTCTCGATGGATTAAATGCGATTTAAACTAGGCTCCATTGAAATGACGGATTCTCCCGAAGGCCAGGTTGATCCATCTGATGGAATCGCCAGAACTTTGATTCCGAGATCAGTTCCTAATGTAGGAATCTTTGGATCCAGATGTGGACGAGGACGCGGTCCGTGGATGCGCCATCTGCGTCGTGGAGCACAAGGAATTCGATGAGAAGGACTCGTTCTTGTTGAAGGAGGATCGACTACGGCGGGTGCTGATGCAGGAGCACTGCAGGGACAAGCCGGTCGCGGTGGTGTCCATCGCCGGGGGGGCGAGGAGGGGGAAGTCCTTCCTCTTGAGTCTCTTCCTGAGATACCTCAGGGCTCAAGTGAGTCCTGCTGTTTCGCAGTCCCGGTTGTCGCGATTTGTCTTGGTTCTCCTGCAACCTTTGTTGCGTCACTCCTCGACTTCAACTTTTCTCCTTCGTTTCAGGGGTCTGAAGATTGGCTCGAGAATGAGAATATACCTATCACAGGGTTTGCCTGGAAAATGAGTTCCAAGAGGGTAACGACGGGCATTCATATCTGGGACGAAATTTTCGCATTAAAGCTTCCAAACGGAGAAGAGGTCAGTTTCAAGGCCTATTTCGATCCAAATGGCTAAATACGTGGAGATAATTTAAACATCATTCCATTTGAATATATCATTCATATCCCTATAACTTAGAAAGAGAACTTGGCCACAATCACGAATACATATAGGAAATTTATCCTCACTAGGATGCAATACTTGTAGGAATCCGTAGCGTGCAGCGTGCAGCTGGGACTTTTTATCGTAAAATATTTCTAACGATGTGAAAATCCAAAGCGAAATGTTGCAAAAAGACTCATAGTGTAGTCGCGTGGGGCACGTGTAGCGCCTGAAAATTAAACCGTTCTGGGAGGGTGGGGAAGGGCAATCCTCGCAGTTTTCTGTGGTGTTAACTGAAGTTTATTGTGCTTGTATTTGGCTCGCGCACACTTTCAGAATTTAAAGAAGCAAAATTGGTGGTTTTGAACTTTTCCAAAGATTCGCCGCATGGAGCTTTACAAAACGTCACCTTTGCCTTTGTCATGTTACTGAACCGGGGAGGGGGGTGGACATACGAGGGTATGTTCATCATTCGGTAAGGAATCTCCCATAGGGGCAAGAGTATGTTGTTAACTTTCTTGTTCCCAACTTCAACAACACGTCAGTTAAGCCATTTTAAAATAGTTTGAGGTATGAAAAAAATTCACCCATAATTTTATATGAGGGCATATCAAAAAATTTCTCAATAGTTTTTGTTTTTGCGAAAGACCTTACCGATAATTTAATGGTGACCAGCATGAAAGTCGCCCCCCGTGAGTTCATGGATTTCTTCTAACTGGTGCTATGTCGTTGCGGGTACTTGCTGGAAGGCTCGTGGTCGCAGCTTCCGGCAATTTCCCAGCTTTCCATTTGTTAGTAGCCATGAGCCATTCTTCCTAATGCCAAGGGTAGGCACTCAGCAACTTTCTTCTTCTCCCACAGCTCAATTCTATGTGGAAAATCGCGAGTCCCTGAAATAAGAAAAGGCCTTTTAGGAACTAGTTGGGAGTCTCTCATTGAAAAACTTTGAACCCCTGTTGTAGGCATGCGTCCTTCTGATGGATACAGAAGGGACATTCGACTGCGAGGAGTCCCTCGCCCACAGCGTGACCGTCTTTGCCCTCAGCACCCTCCTCAGTTCCGTCCAGATTTACAACCTCAAGGAAAACATCAACATGGACGACCTTCTTCATCTGCAGGTATGGTTTCCTCGAGTTGGAGGAAGTCGCGTCGGAGCGGACATGTCACTGGCTTCTCGCTTGGTGCCATTGTCCTGTCCATGTGTTCACGGGTTATTTCAGGCAGATGTTTGGAAAGTGTTCGATGGGCGTGCGATATGGAGTCGATAAGTCCATGGCTTTCTACAAAGCCAAGAATATATCAATAGCCTTTACAAGCAATGAAGCATATTATGGAAGAGGTGAGGATGACTTCTTGCAGAGGAAAGAAAAAATTCAAAGGAATCGCTGGAGACTTAGAAATTTGAAGCAACCAAAAATGGCAGAAAGCTAAAAGCAGCGATTTGAATTTAAGCAGCGATTTGCCTTAGGAGCAGGCTGAACTGTATGGACATGAATATCATGAGAATAATGAACATTATCAACTTGATGAATGCAAACACGATGAACATGAACATATTAGACATAATTAAAATTTTCCATTGCAGTTCTTTACTGGGTATGGTCGCCTGTGTCTTGAAGAAAGCGCCGAAAAACCCTTCCAGAACTTCCTTTTCCTCGTCAGAGACTGGATGAACAAGCACGAGTTCTCCTATGGAAGCGAAGGAGGGCAGATGTTGCTGGACGAGAAGCTCCAAGTCCGTCTTCGTCCCTGTCTATGCAATTTATTTTTAGCTGTTTGCTTTTGTATTTATGCTTGGGGGTCTTTGCCGATGTCAGACTTCTGGGAGACAGCAAGAAAAAGTAAAGAAAGTGAAGGAAGACATCAAGCTTTGTTTTTCAAAGCTTAATTGCTTCCTGATGCCTCATCCCGGTGAAAAAGTGGCTGGAGATCCTAATTTCAGCGGGTGCCTTTCCGGTGAGCTCTTTGGAATCAAGGGACACTTTGATTAAAGGAACTGGAATCGACCCAGGGTGGAAGACTTTGCTGTGAATGCTTCATTATGGTCGCTGTTTCAGATATAAAGGAGGACTTCAAGGATCAGCTCTGTCATTTGGTGCCACAGCTGCTCTCCCCAGAAAATCTGGTCCTGAAGACGATCGCCGGCCAGCCCATCACATGCAAGCAACTCTTCCAATATTTTAAGAGCTACGTGGGAGTTTACAACAACCGGGAGGAAACGCCAGAGCCGAAAGGCTTCTTTGAGGTAATTCCCTGACAAAATCGGTCAGATGCTTGAGAGATATTGATCAGAACCACCTTTCCATTTCTAGGCCACCGCCGAAGTCCAGCACCGGAACGCACACGATGAAGCTGTCGACCGCTACTCTGAACAAATGAAAAGACTCGTGACAGAAACTCCGGTGCCGTCCGAGAGGAGACTGGACGAAGTCCACTCCTCACTCAGACTGGAGGCGATCGACAAGTTCACGAGTTCCAAGAAAATGGGCGGAAAAGAGATATTGGGAATCTATCAGTCGCTTTTGGACAAGGTCAGTGCATAGATATCTTTCTAGGATTTCCGTTACATTCTGTCCATCGGATGGAAGACCTCACTATCCAAATCAGCACATAATGCCTCAGGGCTCCACCGTGGAAATGTTTGCATTCCTTCCAACCAATATGGTATTCCCTTATAGAATCTCCATACCGTCGCAGTTTATCTGGCTAATCAGACAATCGATGGCAAAATCCGGCTTGGCCCAAAGTAAGGAAATTCTCAGTCTGGATGTGGTTTCCAGAGCAAGAATGCCTTCTAAGAGCGAGGCTCTGCAGTCGAAGGCCATCATGTACAAGATAACATGTAAAATATTTCAGAATCACCAACATGGGAAAAATACTTTTCCGACCCATTATCACAATGATGTCCCTTTGCCAACTGCCCTCAAAATAAATCGTCTAGAATCTGTGCGAGCTACACGAGCGGTACAGAATGCAGCGAGATGCGAGGGAGGAGCGAACCAAGATGGAACTCATGGAAGCGGCGATCGGCGCCCTCAAGGTGTACGGGGAGGACATGGCCGAAGTCATGAGAACAGTCCCCTTGGTTACCGGGGAGGAAATGCGAGTGGAACACGAGGAGAAGAAGACCTGGGCGATTCAAAACTTCCAGCTGAAGAGGGGAATTGCCAATGAAGATCTCTTCAGACAACACAAGGAGAAACTGGAAAAGGTTTAAGTTTTACATATTTCTTTTTAACTTGTATCTTTTCCTTCTTCAGGTTGTTACTTAAGTTAATTCTTGTCTGTATATTTCAGTCCTTTCCCGAGTACTACTTTTTATAAAGCACATATTTTACGTGCCTCCACTCAATTTCCCTCTCTAACCCACTCCCTCGCTTCCAGGACATCGACACCCAGTCCACCATCTATTTCACCGAGCGGCAATGGAAGGAGGGCACCGCCGATCGGGAACTGTTCAATGCCGTCCAGTCCACCATCTGGATCTACTGCACTCAAATGGGCCACTCCTGCGGAGGAGCCGTAATCCCCGAGAATGAGCTGGAACGAGAGCACTGGAAGTATTACGAAGAGGCCCTCGAGACCTTCTCGCAAAGAACTCGAGACACGCTCTGTCCGCATCTTCTTGATAGGCACAAGGACAACTTGACGAGGGTGATCTTCATTTTTACCCATTATACTTAGAGCTTCTCTAATCACTGTGAAATGCAGTATTCTCATATCACTCTTCATTTCCTTTCTTTGGAAGCGTTTGGATGAAGAATATAAAAAGTATGTCGAACTCCGAGAAACGAAAGAAAGACAAGCAGAAACTGAACTCATGAATGCTAAGGAGGAGGCCATGGAAAAATACAATGACACGATGAGCAAATTGTTAGTAAATTTGATGAGCGAAGAGAAGCTAAACAACATGCAAGCCAACTATCGTCGACAGACAATTGAATCCTTCGAAGAAACAGCCGAGAAGTACCCCCATCTTGCAAAGAAACATATGGACGACTTGGAAGCGGTCAGACATCGATTTTTACTCTCGTGCTACATTTCGAAGTTTATTTTCGTTTTACCATTCGGTCCTACCTGAAAAGAAACCTCGCTTTGCCACAGCGCATGTCAAGCGAACACGAGCGATACAAAGCCTTCAGAAACTCCCAAGAGCTCCAAGCCGAGGCTGCCCTCCACGACGCGGTGGAGCGAAGCGTCACGCACTACGAGCTCGAGATGTCCTGCCTCTGCGGCGGCAAGGACACCGCCGATGGAGGAAGGCAGGGAAGAAGGCTGGGAGGGAGGCTGGGAGCCACCGACAGTCACCTCCTCACCGAAAAAGAGCTGCTCGAAGGACACGAGAAGCACTGCAAGGAAGCCCTGGATATCTTCTGGGTGACGGGCAAGCAGTGGCTTCACCTCGCCGAGAAATTCAAGGAGGAGCTGGAGGAGGTAACACTCATTTCCATCATACGTTCTCTCTCCAAAGTCGCTATTATTTTCAAAAAGTCAGTCTAAATCCCTTTGGTGCACATCACGAGTAAGATTCTCGTGCAATCACGCATGAAGCATTCAATGTCAAGTGGCCTATATGTGGTTGCGGCGACGAGTGGAATTTTGCAGCAAAGAACATGATATGCTGGATGGGAGAAATTCATAATGCAAAGTTTCAGAATTTATGGTCCAATGGTCCTTGAAATAGGCCTCTGCCTCTTTTAAGAGCAATACATAAGAATGATGATGGATATCATTCTTACGTATATTATAAATTAGAGAGGGGGGGGGGGAGAGGGAATCGCCTTTGTTTCCTTTCTGCTCTCTCCTTTCTGCTTATCCAGCGCTGAGCCGACATTAAAACACGAGGAAGACCGCTCTGTTGAGCTTTCAATTCAATATCTATGACATCAATTGAGAAAATTTAATTGACTTCTGGGGCGATAGGCTCAACTATATCGACCTTTCGGTCAGAGATCAAGTCATTTGAAGTTTGCCTAAGAAATCGTTATTTTCTTTTGCACTACCTATCCATCACTATCTGACACATTAGCACTATCTCTCGATGATTCTTCAGGACGCCCATGTTCGGCGACGAATCATTGCTTCTGTTGCAAACACGTCAGAACTGGAAGTACTGGGACTGGACTACCGAGAACGAAACTCCACGAAACCCACCAGTATATCATTTACCAACATTTTCAGGGCTTCGAAAGTACTGGATCCTAATAGATGAAATTTTAAACTTAACGGAAACGAGTGCACAGGTTTAAAGGTCCACGTATGAACGCGAAAGTGAGCAATGAAATTGAGAACGAAATTGAGAAATTGTCGATATTCTACCGCGATTATGAGGCGCTATCGCGCCTGACAACCTCGGTCTCTCCCCACAGCGCCTAACGAAGGCGAAAGACGAGCTGGAGAAGAAACGAAAAAAGAAGGAAGAAAGAGTGAGAAGATTGCTGGAGAAATCGGTGAGGGAAAAGGCCGAGGAATACTTCGGCCCGACCCGAATGAAGAAATTCTGCGGAGAAACTGTCGTGAACGTCGGAGAACTAAAGGAAAGCCACCAAGAACACAGGGACGCAGTCGTGCGCTCCTTCGTGGAAGAGGGAGACTGGGCCCCAGATTGGCTCGTCGAAGAGTGCCGAGCCATCCTCGCGACCGTGAGTGCCCTCCGTTTTTTTCTCCCATCCCAGTCGAATACTCCATTAATCCGAATCTATCGGCAGTACCTGGACGCCTGGTACCGCTCATTGGAAACGAAGATGGCCGAGGAGCGTTCCAAGCGCGACCAGGACAAGAATGTCTCCAACATGGTCGCCAGAGTGGTCTCCCAGATGGCAAATGCCGTGCTCAGCCCCGCTACTGCTGGGATGGTGAACGTCGCACTGGATGCCGCCCGTGACGTCATCCCGCAGCTGGTTGGGAACTCAAGGTGGCGGAACGAGGCCGTCCTTCCGGACCCTGTCGGCATTAGCATGCCCCTCAGGGTACTTGAGGTGAATCCTGCACTCGACGAAGAACATTCCGGAAAAGAAGAGCCCGAAACATCGGACGAGCCAGAATGAGTACAGGAAAACAATGAAAGAAGATGTTATGATGAATGTTGCGGTACTAAATATATCAATATAGTATGATTCTTTTCAAGGCATAATAGAAAATTCCCGACAGAGCGATGCAGAGAAATTACTGATAATAAATAAGGTCTGTTCATTTCGAGATATTTCGTAACATTTCCTTCCGTCTACTCCCAAGATGTGACGGAATAATTCGGCATAAATTCTGGAATGCCCTAAGCTTCGAACTTCCCCGTCTAACTCCATTCGATTTGAACTACGAGCGTCGAAGATGCATCTCTATGGCTTCATTTTCGACCCAACCGTCCATCGCAGATGATGATCGAGCTTTGGGTTTTCTCATGGAGATTCTCGTGTCTCCTGTTTGGCATAAGGGAGTGGGGATTATTATTCCAACTGTCCGTCAGAAGTTCTACTGGTCGACACCGAATTGAACTCGATTGCGGCTTTCGATGCGCTGGCCGGTACGACTGGGTCACAGGTTCAGAGGATGGTCACAGGTTCAGAGGATGGTCACAGGTTCAGAGGATCGTCATGACGAAGACGATATGAGGCTGACCGCGAGTGGGGCATTTTCGGGTTTGCAGAGAAGCTGCCAGCCGAAACGCATTCCCGATTAATTCGTGGAATATTGCGGGACGAGGAACTGGTGGAGAAGAGAAAGAAACCTGTCAGGTGTAGCCCCTGGTTGGGCTTTGCTTGGTGGAAGGGAATTTCCAAGAAGTATTGAAATGAGAAATAAGGAAATAATGAATTTAAATATAATTGAAACAAAAATGAGAATGAATTAGATGAAGAACTACACGACTTAGTCAGCTTTTTTTTCTTCAAAAAATCTTATTTAAAATATCACAGTATTAATATAGGATTTTCTCATATAAAAATACCTGCCAAAACGGAAGTTTTAAGGAATTTTTGCGGGTCGGAAAAAAATTGATCGACTGGTGATCCATGTCAGTTACGTTCTCAACATTTATTAATTTATTCATGACGGCTCAAGCAGTCAAAGCGAACCGGCGACGGCCGGTCCAGGCTGGACGACGTCGCCCTCGCGGCTCCCACGAGGAAACCAAGGAGCCATCGTCTTCCGTGCTTTTGAGGGAGAGAAATACTTTCGGTAAGGGACAGGAAAGCATCTAGAAGCCTCTATAGATAGATTTCATTATCGATGGACTTTGCTATCTCTTGAGCGCAAACTCTATCTTATCATGGTCACAAAAGGGAAAATGCGTTAAAACCGAGTCTCAAAACACGGCATTCTTGTCACCTCCTTTTGACTTCACAGGCAAATATTGCCCGAAAAAATTGGATGAAACCGGAACTGGCCGGCCCCGATTCCGGCGGCACGAACGACCGCGCAAATCTGCATGGGGCTGAGATGAAGAAACTGCGAATCCCTAGAAGTCATCGGTCCCTTTGGTGCCGGTAAGAATTTGGCTGGGCTGGACCATGTCTAATCTCATGAAGGGGGTAAGATGTGAAAATACGGCTTTCGAAGGATCGGAAAGTGGATTTCTGATTCATGTCAGGAGAAGATACCAGTCGGCTTGTCTGATATCTCAAACTACACTCTCCTATGGCGCTATCCGTAGGAGGAATTGGTCACCGATAGAAGACGATCCTGCCCTCTCATTCAGGCAGAGCATGCGCTGTTCAGCTCAAGGAATAATAGGAGGTCAATGAAGATCCCGAGAATGAGAGGGCGCCTCGGTAACGAGGGGTCCGTTAACGGCACGATGACGGCATGATGTTGGAGTTACCGAGGTGTGAAGGTCAACTTAGGGAAGTTATCTAAGTTGGTTTAAAGATCTGTGTGCCGCTAGAGCGGGCCTGGCATCTTACTTGAAGATCGCAACCCTTGATTCCCATCATGAATCCTTTGAGAAACGTGAGAATGCTCTCGCTCTCACCCCCACAACGATTATCACGAGGTTACAGTGCATGCGAGAGAAAAAGGCCGATAGGAAATGGCTGGACTGAAATGAGATACGAGCCGCCGAGATAACCGGGATTCTCGTCACCGTCGACTCCGTCTCGCGTGCAGTGCAAGCTGATGAGCACTTCAAGCGCCATAGGTCATTACAGGTTAGATATAATTTATTTGCATGCCTCTTTTTCGGAAAAATTATAACCTACGATCGTCAGATCCTTTAAGCGGTATGAAGCCTTCGGCTGGAATCACTACTAGGTTGTAAGGAAAGTTTTTGTGCATACAAACAACGCAACAGTCCGCGAAGCACGATTTTTTGTCACACATTCTGAACTTATATTTATACGCGGCATAAAACGCACTTCAAAACGATACGTATATAAACAAAAAAATTATTTCGAAAAAGATGCTGAAATAAATTTTGTATTCATGCACAAAAACTTTCGTTACAACCTCTTATGAGCCCGTAAGTGTCATTCACAGGCTTCAAGGTCGGTGCAAATACTTCCATGCTACAGTTATCTGGGCACTCACGAGACGACGAGACGAGTGCCGAGATATGGAAAACTTATTTTCCGAGATAAAGGAGGATGGCTAAGGGTCCTATGGAATTTTGCTTAATCGCGTCCCACGACGAAACCGGTCCCGGTCGATAGAATACCTTCAGTAGTGTATAAATGTCATCAGTCACATCGAGATCGGAGGTTACCCTGAGGCACTACTCGAGGAGCTCTATCAATCGGCACCGGTTTCATCGTGGGACGCGATTAAGGGGGGAAAGGCTATCATCCTTTCGTGCATCCACTTCATTGTATCTCCGCGCAAGAAATTCCTTTTTTTTTCGAACAGTGATGTGAAAGTGCTGAAATCAGTAAGGTCGGCTTAACCTTGAATTCTTTCTGGCTTGGTACACAGAGTCATTTCTAGGTAGAGCTGGGCGATATGGATTTTTAAAGTATCGATATCGGCGACGATATATTAATATATATCGTCCGATATCGCGATATCACCGGGGTTCAACCGGGGAAGGGATGTATTAATGGCGCATCTATTTCAGGACAAAACCTCTTAATTTTGCAATGATTCCGACTGATCTTGAATGCATGCCATCATGGTAGTTCGTTGTTCAAAGCTTGGAGAGAGGATCGACGATCTCCGTCGCAAAGCATGCACGATGTCCGCTTGCGGAAAATCCGTATCTCGGGAAGAGTCGCTCACGTGGGACGAAAGTTGCGCGAAGTCGCAGGTGCTTGCGAGCCAGGTCGTGTATGACCAATCTCTCGCAAGATGCGAGAGATTGGCCATATTCCAAAAAACTGAAATTTTTCTTCCTTTCAGGGCAGCTACTCTTGCATGTTCCGGATGGGTATTGCATTCGTTGCGAGAATAAATTCGAAACGCATTCCGCATGACAGACTTTCCACGAGCGTGAGGGATGAGCTTCCAGTTCTTATCCAACCGCAAAAATTGGCCGTGGTTTCATTCGGGGGCAGACCGAGTCCGAGAGGTGATATCCGTCATTTCGCCTCAAGGAAATTTTCAAGGGAAAGAAAGCACGATTGCAGTCATCGGGTTATCCACTAACTCCCTCCCTCGTCTTGTCGGTTTTTGTCAAGGCCGACAATCTTTACATTGTCCTGTGCTGTTATTGTTATTGTTAATGTACGTGTTCTGTATCCCCTCTCCCGCGACAATAGAGTAGAAAAAAATATTATTTCCAAAATGTAAATATCGCGATATGCAGACATATCGCCAATTAGACACGCATCGAACGATATCGTGATATCGAGATAATCGGCACAGCCCTATTTACAAAAATTTCAAGTGAATTTAAAAAATGCAACCGAATGGAAGTCTCGACTTGCATCGGCGAAAGTGTGTGTTATCAGGCGGGCTCCGGAGGGAAGAACCCAAGTAACACGAGAAATTCCAGCAAAGTTCAGGAAATGTTGAAGAACAATGTTGCTTATATGTGTAAATGTCCAAAACGTCAACGCTGGTCGAATGTTGCGAAAGAACATTGCATTGTCGTTGCAAATAGTTACTTGTTCATTACATGTACATTGCAGAAAAGTTTCAGGATTTATGTTGCTGTAATTTTTAGTAGCACCTAATCTGGACCTATATTGGCATTACTACCCGGAAAAGCAGAGGCTTCACTGGCCCCGAACGGACCAATATTCTTCCAATATTGAATCCTTTCTTTTCATAATTTCGTACCTTATGCTTTATCTCTTTACCCAGACGTTCCCATCAACAGGACGAAGCCTGTACTGGTATTACTCCTGCCCCATGCTCAATACAGTATCATGTATAGGCGGAAGACATTGTACATTTTTGGAGGCAATCTTGGAACATTTCAGGTAAAGGTCCACCCGCAATGTTCTATGGAGTGTCCGCGATTGCAATCCTTTATTCCTCATGTAGTTCTTAGAATGAGAAGGGGAAAAAGAATTTCACTGGATTGGTGGAATGCGATCAAAAACCAAAGATCTATCGAAACGGCAGACTATCCCAAAAGCCTAATAGTTCCATGTTTTAGGAAAATTCAGGATTTTGAAATCGACATCTGTTCCTACGTTAAGAACCTCTGCCTGCAGACATGGCCGAGGGAAGTGCCATCTGCGTCGTGGAGCACAATGAAAACGAGGAGAGGGACTCGTACCTGCTGAAGGAGGATAGACTGCAGCGGCTCCTGCTGCAGGCGCACTGCAGGGACAAGCCGGTCGCGGTGGTGTCCAT